CGATCAGCCATAGACCATCCAGTTACTGATTCCGGACTCTACGGCGCATTGGAGCATCTCTGGTGCACACGAAGACCATCACACACTGCTCCCCTTACTCAAAAGAGCGTGGAGACGCAGCTTTAACCGGAACAAAGTGCATTCCCTGATCCACATCCCTCGTGCTGTTTAAAAGGGGGGAAGTATAGAAAGGGGATCATTCAAGACGTACGTCCATGTAGAGAAAACTGTTGGTAACAGTAGCAGTGGCAGGTGCAGGTGCAGGTGCAGGGTTGCAGGGTTGTGTAGACTATAGAGTACTGCAGAGTGTAGACTATAGGGTTGTGACGCCGGACGCGCCAGACGCAAGGGTGAGACAATAAAGCCGTTGTGAAAAGACGTGATGCTTGGCCGTTGAATCGTGAGACCTGGACCATCCTCCCGCCGGATGGAGAGTGGGAACCTGAATCAAACATGGAGCTCATCTCATCCCCAGCATGCGCGTGGAACCATATGAAGAGAGAGGGGCGCCACGGGACGGGATTGGATCGTGCATGACTGGAATGGAATGGAATGTTTGGATCATGATCATCTTTGTTTATCTTTCTTTCTCCCGGTCGGGAACACGGGGATCAGGAGTCCTGAAAGGGACAATTAGAGGTTTGTACTATCAGTATCCATGTTTGAACTGCGCGTGAAGCGTTTATGCTCGAGCATGTTCCCATAGTTTTGGGGGCGCTGCACGGTATCGGAAGCAGAATATACATGATGGAGTATGACTATGGACAATAAAGCCTTTCTTTGTTGTTTCTTTTTCAATGCCATTGTTTAATAGCAGATAATACTTACATAGTAAATGCGAGCGCTCAACCTCACCCGGGGACTCGGGCTTTCTCATCGATAATGATTGCATGGAAAAGCGAAAAGCTAAGTAGATCACGCACCGGCACACACCAATTAAGCATTCAATTCATTTTGTCTTTCAACGGCTCCCGATTCCCCATATGACTAGGACGATAGTGTAAATCCTCAAGCTCAGACTCCCAAACTCAATATTCCAAATTCCATCAGGGGAAAAAAAGCGAATCAAGGCTACATCTAAATATACCAATTTCAAGATCAACATGCAAGGTTGCAGCGGACAAAACCGGACAGCGGTTGAGGTAAATGCAGAGCATATCAACAATGTACTAGCAATGCAGCGCAAAATATATGCTGTCAGGCTGTCAGCTGTGTAGATATGAGAGACAGTAATTGTTTATCTTGATCAACTTAATTGAGTCCATGACTGCTCGAACAGTGGAACCACCGTGATACCATGTTCCAATGCAATACAACAAATACATAATGACCTACCATATGTCTCTGGACGAGTCTTCGGCCCCTCATTCACTTCATCGCCTCCGCAGGGACCGAACCTGTCAGTAATAGCGGGCTGCATGCTGCCATGCACCCGGACTAAAATGGATAACGCCAGGGTGGAGCCTCTGAATAAAAGACCCCCAAATGTCCAGCCTATTTTGCGTCTCTTGCGTCTCCGGTTCCTATTAACTCAGCTCACAAGCGAGGCACCATACATCTTCTAATACCTACGGCCTAAGCGGCAGGTACTAGGTAATAGAAGCTCAGCTAAGGCACCCTGAGCTAACTTGGAAACAATCGGGTTCTCCTCCGAGCTTGAGTAGTGTAGTGCTAGATGCTGTTCGCTAGGTAAGGTACATACTCGCCTCATTCTTACGCTGATTCACCCTCTTTACAAGGTCGCCTCGAAGGGATCGTGCATTCCGTCGAGCGCTTTGATCTCTTCCCTTATTTCGAGCCCCGACGATGCAGACGCTGGCAGGCTCGTCCCACAATACTGAGTATGAACGTTCGTGCCAGTAGTGTCAAGGTTCTTCCCCACTTTAGTCCTCTGAGTGACGGGGCAAGACTGATCAACGGGCGTTGATAACCCAACGTTCCGTCCTCGCGCGCCGGACGGGCAACGGCTTGTCAAGCTGGATCTAGACTCGGGCCTCTTCTCGTGTTTTACGTAGTGATGTGTTGTGTTCTCGGCTTTCTGACCGTACTTGTCTTCTCCTGCACCGCCTTCTCTCCGTTCATGATCAATGAATTTGTACTAGATGCTCCGGAAGCTCGACAGAGCAGCTCGCGACGTTCTCCATCTAGCTGTGCATGCCTTGAATCTCTCCTCATTGGACTGGAAAAGGTTCGAGGCTGTGACTCACGTTACGCTGTAACGAGTGCAACTATGCGCCATTTCAACCAGACTGTCGGGTGCGATGGAGGGAGAAAGGAATATGGCCCTTCCTCCAAAGTGTGCCGAAGCCGGGTCGTACTTCGTTTGAATTCATCAGTGTACATCTGTGAATTTGCAAAGGAACCGCGCTCTTCTCCACTGTGCTCATATGAAAGATCCGCCGGGATCTCAGTAATATGGGCGATTTGAGGCGAGGCGAGGCTTAGGCACATCATTTGTATCCCAATAAGCCAGGCTCATCCATGACACCGTTCATGCCTGCCCCAAAATACTATCGATCTCTTGTTCATATACCAGATCTGCTAGGTTGAAAATATCAAGACTTTGATCCAGAGTATCCTCCACATGAGTATCTTCAAGTGTTGGACGTCCCCGGTCGTATCCATGAACGACACGAAAGTGGGCACAGGTAGGTACGACCCGGTCGAAGGTCCCCAAGAACGGTAACATAATCAGGCAGGGTACTCCTGATCGTCAATCCGTCCAGTATCCCGCCAGCCAAACGGAATACTCTATGAAGAAGTAGAGTTCAGCAACTCACAAGAACAGCGAGGGTTCGCGGCGTAAGAAGGAGAAAGGGATCTAGCCTTTCCCGCACGACGTTCAACTTCTCTGACTTGCCCGGTAGACGCATGCGGCGGTCTTTCCAGCAAAAGAACGACGGACCTCGGCCTTGATCCTGTCGGCCGTTTGGCTGGAAGTATGAGATGTCATTCGGCAAAAATGGATGTCAACTGTGCTCACTGGGTCGTATGGACCGGGGCCCGGGACCGGTCCCGGGCCCCGGCCATGCAACGACCAGACGTTAGGTCCATGATGTGGCGCGGTCAGCAGTTCGAGCTGAAAAGCCTATGTTGACGAGGAGCCAGAGCGCCCCTACAGGCGCGATGACTCGATGCGATCGGGGAGGAAGACCCCTGTCGCCGGGGAGTCACAGGTTGAAACAACGAGAAGGAGGGAAAGTCGACCAGATGGAGTTCAAGGAGACGGACTCAGGAGGAGGCGACTTGGTGGAGGACACTATCGAGTATCGACCGGGGCCTTGTCCAGCTCTCTCTAGTCTCCACGGTATCCATGCCCCCAGAAAGAAAGGTCAAGGCGCTGGCCGTCAGATAGAGTCGCCGGCGAGAGAAAGAAAAGAGAACACCGAAAAAAGTACTGGGCATCAGCCGGACCAGCCCTGTACCTCTGCCCCATGTCAGCCCCCTCCGCCTCCTGATGCTTGGGCCTCGTACTTGACCACTGGCCTGTGCTGCGCGTCCAGAGCGCAGCGTCTGCCAATCGAATGTCAGAGAGAGATCTTGTAGGGGCTCTGGTGCAAATGGCCCATGGCAACTCACAGGAGAGCGCCGAGCACGCGGGCGGGACTGTTGGGCTCTTGGTCCGAGAATGTCCACTCCAATACACCCCATACCGGGTGCTAACGGCGTCTTCTGCGCAGCACACCGTCACACACCCATTGGGGCAATCCTGAGACGGAATTTCAGGGCTCACCGAAAGGTGTCGATTGTAGGCGTTCGCTGCTCCATTTGTGGGGCCGCGCCAGCGGACCTCCCGAGGGTGGCTTGACTTTTGTTGGTCCTTTGGTCGGTTGCTAGGAGGGTCTTGAAGTTTGGGCTCCAGCAGTATGAGATGATCCTATCCCCAACTCATCGCGCTACAGGGACTTTGGTGGAGTGTACGAGGCTTTGGGCCGCTAGACGGGACAGGGACCGGGGGCAAGATTGACCCAGTTCTCTCACCTGTTCGACACCAAAGGTGGAGTCAAGCGGGCGGACAACAAAGAACAGGACGAGAACACCGTGATAATTCAGAGGAAACAATTCAAGTGACGACTAGGAGTGGTACACGGACGGAGGCAGTTATGCACCGGAGTAGAAGAGGAATTTGGGAGTTGTGTTCTAAGAAAAAGAAAAAGCACCACTTGACGCCAGACAAAAGTCGATCTACATCGCGCCCATCATTTTACGGAACTAAAATCCTGCAGGCGCCGACTGAACCGCGCGGAAAAATTCTCCGCCAGGAAAGCTATAGGCTCCCGGATCGTCGTTCATTCGGCTCGGATCGGATGCAGGTACTAGGATGTAGGACACAGACTGGATCACAGACAAGGGTGCAACGACGAGGATGAATCGTGGCTGAGTGTAACAACGTCGCTGCAGCAGGAGAAAGAGATGTGGATTTACGGGTCCCACTCGCAGGGACCGTCTGAAAAAGTCCAGGCAGGATAGTCAGGCTGGATGGAAATGAAAAGTTGACCTTGCGTGTTCTCGTTGTTCACGGCCACGAGTTCGGCATAGACTGTACGTGGCTGGTAGATGACACGAGTCAGCCCCGGAGACGAAGGAGCGTAAACCAGGATAATTTGCGCCTGGATCGACAGACAGCAAAGGTCCGACAGGGAAAGTCAAGGAAATGCATCCACCTCATGTCTGTATGTATTGAGGCAGTGGTCGGTCTTCCCAGTAGTGACTCCACCATCATTATCATCACCAACATAAAAAAAAAAACGGACGATCAGAGTCTCGCCGGGATTGTCTGCCCGAATGATGACTGTGGTGTGCTGTATGTGCCCAGAACACTATGCAATTTTTTTTCCAAATTTGAAGACGAGACGGATGGACCTCAGCCATCGTGGGCACGGTCGACAGATGAAAGAGCGCGAGAAGCTAGGCATGATATTGAGTTCCTCACTCGCGTCAATTCACTTCACGGTTCTCTTCGACCGAGCGAGGCAGTCATCAGCCATTCAACTTTTCTTTCAGCCAGATGGCTTGGAAGGGCTCGAGGCTTGCTGTCGACCCTGGTCGGCAGCGGCGACGGCCGCAGCTGCAACAGCCGCCGAGTTAGTTGAGCCTGCACTTGCTACATTACTTGCGTGGGCGAGCAAGAATTTGCAGCAGGTCAGAGTATATTTGCAAGCTCGGGTCCACGTCTCGTCATTCTGATTGAATCCAAGCTTGATACTCGCATCCCCAATTCGATCCTTCTTGATTTCATAGGGCAACTTCAAGCCTGGCCCTGTAGTCCCGTTGCTCTGTCCGCGACGATGAGCCGCGACAGGGGCGGGCGTCGTTGCAACAAACTGACCAAGCTGGCGTAAACACTCCAGGAAGGCAACCATTCCGTTGTCAAAACGGCGATGTAACCAGGGTAGATTCAGCGGCAGGTCGCCAGATGAAAACAAGTCCAATGGGGTGATTTTGGGGTTGCCGCGCTCGTTGGAAGCTGTTCCGGATGGCTGTGTGGGAAGCTCTACCTTGTCGATGCGAGAGGTGGAGCCGAGGGGACGCAGACGATATCCCTGGAACTGAAAGCCAAGCCTCTCTGCAATAGTGGCCAGAAGCAGACAAGTCTGACCCCATGCAGCGTTGATCTCAGGCCATTCAACAGAGGGATTCGCTAACCGACCAAGTCGCAGCCCATTGATAGTGCCAAAGTACCCGTCATGGCCGATGCAGAATGCATCATTGTAAACGTTGGTACGCTGCAGTCGCTCCAGCTGCTGCGAGTCGTGGTCGTATCGCATATTCAGTGCATCGCGCTCGGTTTGAAACTCTCCTAGTGTCAAGGCAAAGCTGTTGCGGGCGCGCCAGAAGGCTTCTTCATCCGCGTCCAATTGCTGTGATTCTTCTTCCAAGCTTCCAATCTCCTCGTCCAATTTCGCCTTTTCTCTTTCCAACGACTGGAGCTCTGCAAGTAGACGTTGCTCAGCGTTGAGGCTTTCTTGCAACGACTGCTCCGCCGCCTCCAGATCTTCCGTAGACGGGATCTCTGAATTCAGTGTCCTGAGAAATGAAATGTACGCATCTCGTTCTTTTGTCGAGCCGGCCAGACGTTTTTGTAATGCTTCAACAAGTATGTCTGTGCATTCCACACAGATGGGATGATCGATGTCGGAACGCGAGGAAATGATCTCGAACAAGCGGCTCGTTTTGTCAACCTGGTCGGCAAATGTTCCGTCCTGTTTCTGAACATCGTGCCTCGGTGCATTCTTGCCTTTGGTCCGTAGCGATAAACTCTCCTCCGTGGGTGGAGGTACAAATTGGGATTCCGTCAGCATCACGAACGACATGTTTCCGCTCTCAGCGCGTGGTAGTGAAGGTGGATGTGGTTGAGTGCCCGATCGTGGAGCAGGCACCGATCTTTTGTAAACCGGAGCTGTAGCATGTTGAGCTGCTCGTTCATAAGTCGCGCGACGATCTGAAGAAAGAGCTGGGCGAGCAGGGGAGATTGTATTCTGTCCGGGAGCTGTCTTTCCTGTAGAGTCTGGACCAACAGCTTAGCTGGCCGAATCACATGCACGAGTTCGTGGGTCAAGACAGGCGGAAGCTTACTGACGAGCAGCTCAAAAGCAGCTGGATTAAGTGACTCCAAGGATCCATCCAGCTTCAGCGGCGTCCGACACTTCTGACAATACATCATGTTGAAAGCCACTGCGCTTGGGGGCTCCGTTTGCGGAGAGAAACGCGGTGTGGGGAAGAAGATTGACGGTTGAGGGGATGAGGGCGGCGCTGGGTGGGCACGTCATGCCGATTGTTTTTCCACATTTTTTGAGCTTCTGCATTGCGGCCGTCGCGAACTTGAATCACCTCCTTGAGTCCCCCGCCGCATCGATGCCGTGCTACGAGTTGTTCTCCTGCGATATGATTTTTTGAGATTTACACAACAAGAGTGCGAATCCGGGCTATTGCGCGATGTTGTATCTCTCTTCACGATTCCCATGTCCATGATCGCGCGGCTCAAGGACAATCTTGATAACTGGCCTTGAACGAATTCTATCTACACCATTGAAATCACGCGACATGGCAGAAGACACGGTCATACATAATCATGGTCACCCGGGTGACCACCGAGAGCGACCACGAAAGCGACAGCGAGTGTCTTCAATCCCAAAATCACCACAAACTAGTGAAATTCCACAGCAGTGGGATTTACAAGCTGCCCGCGCCCAGAATGACTTGCGTCTCAAGTCAATCTTTGAGGGAATCTTTGAGAAATACGGCAATGACTTTTCGGACGTGGGCGACGAGATTGATCTGGAAACTGGCGAGATTGTCGTTAACAGAGGCCACTTGAAGAGCATGCTCGAGGAGACCGACGTTGGAAAGAGGCTAGACCCCTGGGCAGAAGACCCATTCGGTTCCGACGACGATGATAGTGTTCGTGACGAAGAGCCTTCTTCATTGGGACATCATAAAGATGAGGTCCCTGAAGCCGAATCGCTCGATGTTTGCCCGGTCGGGGACACGACCAGTTCACTACGCAACTCGGTGAAGCCACTCTCGAACCGGGGCCATGAACGAATAGCCTCCAGCCCCCCAAGACCGGGAGACAAAGCTTCAACAGACTGGCAGTCACCGGGGCCACTGGCTGACCTGGTTGATCCTCTTTGGCAGGCCCCTGAGCTGCCACCGCTGTTCGCAACTCCTAGTGCGAACAGGCAGCCCGTTGCTGCATCGCCTCAGCTTCCGACGATTCTCCGTGAGCCCTCTCCACCGGGCTCCGGGTCGCTTTGGACCGTTCCGCGAAGACGCCTCCCACGATCTGAACAGAAGCCTCGAAGCACGGCAGCTTCCTCACCAAGCAAAAGCCGGCCCTATGCGAAACGCAAGTATCAGTCTAGCCCGGCGACGCGGGACTGGTCCTTTGCGGAAGTCAGCGCAGGCGATGAATCGGACGATCCACTACAGGAACAATGGCCATCGTCGCCATTGCCTAATCCATCTCAGACCACAACAGCCGGCAGACAAGAGACTCGGAGCTCTGCCTCTACCACCCGAATTAGGAAGGCAGCCCTTACAGGCCCCGATGGAAGTCGACCGGTCGATTCCCGCCGCCAATCGTCATCACGAGCCAATCAGTCCGTGCAAAAGACATCGGCCACGGATCGTGACTATCACGATCGCGACCAGCACCACTCGGAATCAATGCCACCATCACGCAACACTCCAGCTGTGGATATTGGTTTCTCAAAACACAATTTAATCTCATCTGCATCTCCTAGTCCTGCGGGTGCTGCACAGGGGTGGCCAAGCTCATCGCCAATCAAAGCCAGCGTCAAATTTACGCCCGATGAGGCCAAACTGATCGTTCGCATGCGCTATGTGCAAGAACAGACTTGGCAAGACATAGCAGCAGCGTTACCGGGCCATACATTATCAGAAATTTATCAGTGGAATCAGATTCATTGGAGCGATCGTCGCCCATTTTCTGATGAGTCTCCATGGTCCTGGTCTTTGGCTGAAGCGGATACTTTGAACACACTAGCACGAGAAAGTGGGCTTTCATGGGGAGCTATCATGATTGAGCTGCCCAATCGCTCTCAGTCCGATATTGAATCTGAGTTGTTCCGGCGTTGGGTTGGTGATGAAATTTGGCTCTCCAAACAAGAAAGTGGCGAAAGCACGGTCCCATTCCAACTCTCTTCCTCAGTATCTGTGCGCTATGAAACAGAGAGCAAGACGGTGAGGATTGAAATAGGTGATAGTGATGACGAGGAGTCACAAAGTCCATCGATTGTGAGCGAGAGAGGCTTGTCCGACCGTGACATTCCCACGACACCTAGAGTAAAAGCATCGTCTCGGCCTTCTTCGCCCTCTCTGGTGGAAAGTCACCGGCGCCAGTTTGAAGATTTTTTGGATAAGGATGACGACGTCGTGAATGACATTGATGACGTGATGCTACTCAGCGGTGCATCTTCTCCGTCCAAGTTATCCTCCATATTTTTGGACAGTCCTGCGCCAACTCGAAGTCTTTCACGATCCCCTCGGAAATCACCAACCAAGTTCCGCGGTTTTTTATGAGAAGTACCAAGTGAGCAGCGCTCGCTGGTCAGTAACTCGTATATCGCTTTCAAGGGCCTTTGAATTCGACGCCACATGTGACCCCCCTGGATGCGCCAGAAACGGCCGCTTTTTACACCCGTAGCTTCCACCAGGAAGCCGCTACTCGATAGCTCCATCAACCACCCATCTTGGCCGTCAATCACTGTATCATCCATCTGCAAATCAAAAGGGTCAATGTCACAGCGATACATATGTTGCCATCACCGGCTCTCATCCACCATCAAGGCACAAACGCACATAAGCGATGACCTCTTGCTGGAGGCTGTATTGTCGCTTCCCATATACTATAGTGGCAGCAATCCTACTAGCCACCCTAGGACAAAAGTGGTCTTAGGACTGGAGATTTGCCTCGTCAGCGGCCACAACAACCTTTTGAATCCTATACATGGTGAACACCGAGCCAGTAATACAGCCAGATTTACACCAGTATCGTAGCCAGCATCGTAGCCAGATCCGCAGCTATGCCAGCTAGTATCGCAGCCAGCGGAGATAAAAGAGCCTGATAATCAGCTCCGTAAGATCGACTCTAGCCGATTACGGACTAGCGTTACTGTTGGAAAGTCCACGCTAGGCGGCCGTAAATCATACAACATTGGGTCACTTCACCGCGATGGCAGAACGCCTCCCTCTAAGAGGAAAAAAGTAAACTAGGGGATAGGCCCCCCGCTAAGCGTATATCCCAAAGAAGTTCCCCTAAACTATTGTTGTTGTGTCTCTGACGAGACACCATTATTGTTGGTTGTTGGTACCTTTAGCGTCGAGCATCCCTCTGGCTTGGAGAATAACGTTGACCGAGAAACTGAACCCACCAATCTTCGTGTAACTCGCCAGCATTCATCCGCACAAGAACTCAGCGCGATCTTGCAGTGGTACCAGGGAATCGTGCTGAATGAAGGTCGTTTCGGGGAAGACCCCAGTCGATTTGGCTGCGCAGTCATCTAGACTCGTAAGCCTTTCTTCGCACATCATGTAATCATCTCCTCGCTCCATACGCAAAAGAAAATGCCATCTTGCTGAATTGAGTAAATAGTTCAACAACTTCGGGTTCTCTTTCTATCTCTCCAGTGTACGATAGCCTTTGTAAGCGTCATCCACAGGCCTCGCCGTGATTTTGATACAGACCCACTTCTGGAGTCTGAGGAAGTCAAGAAATCTGACGGCTTCTACTTATAGTTGGACGGTTGATCTTTTCAGATAGCGGGCTTCGTAGACAGTAATCCCGCTTATATTTGCAAGGCGCACCTGGAAGTATGAAGACATGCAGTCGTCTTCCTGTGTTTGGCATCACATAGCCCGGTCCTAACGCTCCACTTGGCAGATTACAAATTTGAGATGGTGGAATTATCACTTCGTGAGGGAACGACATCCCTTTTTCGTAAGTCCTACCGTATATCGTACATGGTGATTCTCTCTGGATAGGCTTATTGGAAGTCCTCGTCACGCGCTGCAAGGACCTCCTCCAATTTCGTGTCGATCGCCCCTCCAACGTCCCCGGCCTTAGCCCAGAAACGTGATAAATGCCTCGATCCTGAATCAGATAGCATGGTCACAATCCGGTGACCCGGTCCCAGCTTCTGTGCCGTCTTGACCGCGGCGAAACCTGTGATGGTCATATGTTAGCAAGTTCGAATCCGCTGAGACGACTGAAGACGACCGGCACACGTACAGTTCACAGCACTACTACTTCCGATGAAAATTCCATCCTTCTCCACCAACCACCGTGCCATAGCGAGGGCTTGAGCATCCGTCACACGCACCGCATCGTCCACAAGCTCCTTGCCAGCTTCAAAGTTCGCTGTAACACGATTGATTCCGATGCCTTCGACAATCGTATCAACTTGGGGTCGTCGTCGAGTTCCTTCCCGTTCTTTTGTGTCGAACATCACACCGTATCTCACACGATTGTACAGGCCGCTACCTTGTGGATCTGCCAGCACAACGGTCATGTTGGGCAGTAACGGCTTCAGATACCGTGCGACGCCTGAGATAGTGCCACCAGTCCCTGCGCCAGCAACGAAGGCGTCAATTTTCCCATTACACTGGGCGTAGATTTCAGGGCCGGTGCCTGAATGATGAGCGCGCCAATTGGCTTCATTCTCAAATTGATCGGCGAAGAACCCGCGGCCCCGGACTTCGATCTCACGAGTCTCGAGGCCACCATCCTGCTCCGAGGTGACTGAGACTGATGCTGATTCCGTGTGTGCCTGTGCCAGTGCCCGTGCGCGGTTCACAAAGTTTTCTTTCTCGACAATAGGCGCAGGTGGCACACGGTCGACGATTGCACCGAGCTTCAAAAGCAGATTGGACTTTTCGATTGCCTGGTCCGAGGGCATGCAGCTATTCGCCAGGGTGAGAATTGAAGCCTGGGAGAGTATCGCTTGTGATGAGGGGGTGGGTATGCATACATATGAGCTAGATAGCCCTTGGCTCGAGCGAGACTTGCAAGAGATATCCCCGTTGATCCCGATGTGCCTTCGTATATGGTATCCCCGGAGTAAGGAGTCAGGATACCCTTCTCTTCGGCCTGTGATGTGTCAGTTCCTTAAGCTTGTTGATAGACATGCGAATCATGAACTTACAATTTCGATCATACTCAGTGCCACACGGTCTTTAGAACTCTGTCCAGCACCGTTCAAGAACTAGCCAACAAACGTTAAGATTAGAATACCCACTCGGGTGTTCGATGGAAGGCGAGAAGTCCTTACTTCGGCCTTGCCCAAAATCTCACATCCTGTCGCATCAGATAATGATTTAATGCGGAAGAGATGAGTATTCCCTATGCAGCCTTGGATACCTTCGACGATCGCAGGAGGTCCTGTTCGTGCAACAACCGCCTCTGTTGGATGCTCATTTGCTGCCGTGGAATCTTTGGCATGGTCATGCGATGACAGTAATTCTTTGCAGATCAATGCCACAGAGACACCTGCCACGAAGGCCGAGCAAACATATAAAGTTGTGTGGTCTGGCATTTTAATGCGCAGGAAATTGACCTTTTGCCCTCGTGAAGAAAGACTTTGTTGAACTTATCGCTCTTGGTGGCGATCGATCATTAAGAGAGAGCGCTCGAAGCGCGGAGCTCGTCTGACGTCCGTCTGAAAGACGCAATCCACGAAGATGGAATTTGAGAGGAACAGAAAAATACCTCTATACTGTACGGAATCTTCTATCAGTCACAGAAGCAACGGCTCAAAACTTCAAGTAGACGGCGTCAATTCTCCATTGCCAGTGATGTCGGAGGTGCCATTGTCGGCCTCAGGCATCAGGATAGTCATGCCTCAGGCGCCACAGAAAGCTCCATGTTGACCCCATATCCACCGGTCTTCATTGCTGTAGCCGGTCTCGTGTCGCCAAACATCATGGACTCACCTGTCCTGAACCAGCTGCTGCGGCAGCTATTCCGACATCCCGCCTGTCAGTCTCTTCGACGGCCCCCCTCGTCCATTTCACGTCAAACGCGCACGTTTCTCACACGCCGCACACCCACGAAGCGCAAATCCCAAGACGATGGCATGCTCTGGACGAAACGAGGGGATTACCCCAAGAACATCGACGAGGAATACTGGCAGTATCCAACTGTCACAGCCAAAGACTTGAAGAACAGGCGCGAGCGACCGCGACAGGTGAAGATGTTGACGCGAGAATTCATCGATGGTAAAGTGAAGCTAGTGGAGCCTCATCGCGCGCGCGCAACACCTCCATTGCATTTCTGACTTTCTCAAAATCGGTGCAGATAGTCTTTACAACCCTCATTATGGGTATTTCTCAAAACATGCGACTATTTTTACTCCGGGAGAACCGTTTGATTTCAACCAGATCGAGGACGGGCCTGCGTTCCATCGAATGGTGGGTGAACGATACACCGAGTTCGAAGACAAGCTCGACGAGGAGAAACCAGACATTGCGAGACAATTGTGGCATACACCAACAGAATTGTTCAAGCCCTATTACGGAGAGACGATTGCGCGGTACTTGGTCTCGAATTACAAGCTCACGCTGTACCCATACCACGACCTGATCATCTACGAGATGGGCGCGGGCAATGGAACGATGATGTTGAACATTCTTGATTTCATTCGCGACACGGATTATGAAGTCTACCAGCGTACCAAGTACAAGATCATCGAGATCTCACCGGCTCTCGCAGACCTGCAAACCAAGAACTTGCTCGATACCCTGAGCTCCAAGGGCCATCGAGAACGAGTCGAAATCATCAATCGCTCCATCTTCGACTGGGACACTTACGTGCACTCGCCATGCTTTTTCCTCGCCCTGGAAGTCTTCGACAACTTCGGTCACGACACCATCCGCTATGATGCCCGTACACAAACCCCGCAACAAGGCGGAGTGCTCATCGACGCCAACGGCGATTTCCACGAATACTACAACACCCAACTCGATCCGGTCGCCGCTCGCTTTTTGCGCGTCCGTCAAGCCGCGGCGCGCCGCCCTTTCCCTAGCCCCCTAGGACCCTGGTATCTGCGTAATCTTCGATCCGCAGGGCCATTCCGAAAGGAATTCTCGTCTCCAGAATATATTCCTACCAGACTGATGCAATTCTTCGATGTGTTGAATCAATTCTTCCCAGCCCATCGTCTCGTATCGAGTGACTTTGATTTCTTGCCGGATGCAGTTCCTGGCTTGAATGCGCCAGTGGTACAAACTCGGTATCAACGGCAGACCGTGCCGGTCACGACCCCATTTGTGAGTTTGCAAAGCCCTTTTTTCACGACTTGGATTTTTGGATTTGGCTTCGGGACTGATTTTTCTTTTTCGAACCCTCCTTCTCGCTCAGGTCCATCAAGGGTACTTTGATATCTTTTTCCCCACTGATTTCAATGTGATCGAAGACATGTATCGGGCCATCACGGGGAAATTGACCCAGGTCACGACACATGAGGATTTTGTGCGCCGATGGGCTTACATTGAGGACACGGAGACAAGGAATGGAGAGAACCCGCTGCTCACCTGGTACAAGAATGCCAGCATGTTGATGACGGTATAAGTTCATATGTACAATAGTGAATCGGAAAAGTTCACGTCCGCCAAGATCCTTCTGATCGACCATCACGAATCATCCTTGTTCCTTGCCAAGAATCTACCCATCGAATCGATAATTCCCAGCCACGATACTCCCTAGGAGGAAGGTAGCAAAGCTACAGCTCCAATGCTCCCACCGTGCCGAATTCTGGCCAATCCGCCTGCCACTGGGACACTTGACAGAGGCGCCCGTCATCGCGCTCGCGCCACTCGTCAGAGCCCACGTTAGTCTTGCCATAGAAGATATTGTGCGGATCGTATTTTGCCTTGATCTTACGAAGAGCCGCATAGTTGGGACCGTAGAAAACACTTTGAAAGTCCGGTTGACGGAAATCACCCTATCTCGCGAAATAAGTTAGTATCGTGAATCTGTGCTTTCGCAAGGGGTTGCTGAGAATGGGCAAGTGGCCTTGCAGGGTCGACCGGTCTTGATTTTCTCCCTTCAATGTACGAACCTCATTCATGTAGGCACCTGATTCGGGAGAGAGAGCTCTCAATTGAGGAATGAAGTCTTCTGTCATTTGGCGCTGTCTTTCCAGCATCAGGGCCGAGTCCGTCCAATTCCAGGGTGTGGTGAGAGTAGTATCGATCAGTGCGTCGCGCCAGGCAGGGAGAACGGCATTGTGGACATTGCCGGCAACTTTCTTGGAGACATTCAGTCCCACGCCAATAAAGGTAGCACCGCTCTCGGTGATATTGCGGTAGGCCTTGACCAAGGCCTTGTTGTTGTCTTGAACGACGGATCGGGGCACGAGCCAGCCACCATATTGGGCGGTGCCTACCTCGATCAAGCCCTGCATGCCCTTGTATTGGGCGTAGTACGAGTCGAATTGGTTCGCGCTCATACTGTACTTGATCTTGAGCTGGTCCAAGTGGTCGGTGAAGGGTCTGAGGAGCTCAACCAGCTGGGAAACTGGGATGTTCGGAGCAGTGATGGGCGAAATGGAGAAAAAGGCGTTGGTGTAGTACCATATGGACATTGCTCCGGCGTCGACGAGAGCAGGCAGAACTGTATGAAACACTTCGATGGTCTCGTAGAAGGCATCCGACGAGAGACCAGCAGCAGTATAGGTCAGATTAAGACCAGAGACTGGAGTCGCCGAATACGCCTTGGAGGTCATGGAGAATACAACTCCATAGGTACCAGCACCTCCGCCGCTCAACGCCCAGAATAGATCCGAATGTTCGTTATCTCTTGTTGCAGTCATGATTCGCCCTGTGCCATCGACGACTTTCCATTGCAGCACCTGATCCGCTGCCAGGCCGTACCGCGACGCCAGCGCAGAATGACCACCACCTTGAGAGTAACCGCCGGCCAACCCGACAGTGGGACATTCACCACCGACAACCTGATACCCCTGGGCATCTGCTAGCTCATACGCTTCGAAGCCTTGCACCCCCGCGCCCATAGTGATGGCTTTGCCCTGGTAATGGCGGTCATGGTAATCGTGAATCGACAGGTCTTTCAGATGATGGGTCCAGATAGCTAGGGCACCAGCTCCTGTAGATCGACCGTTATAATCGTGGCCGGTGTTCCTCACGACAACACGAATATTGTGCTCTGTAGCAAATCGAATCGTAGCAGCTATATGCTCCGGACGACCAACGTCGACACTGTAGCTCACGTAATTGCCCATCAGACAAGGCTTGGAGACGGGATGGAACGGATCACAGGTGCCATTGGCAAAGAATGGGGCCATCACGGACGACGAGTCGTCATAACTATGTGAGCGAAGAAAGTCAGCAAGACGAACAGCAAGGCGATCGGATCGAGCACACGCCCTGTCTCAGCCTAGATACTATGAGCGCATGATTGAACGAGGGCACATACTGTTCCTCGGGAAGAAGCCATCCAGACTTGAGGGTGGCACAAGTGACAGCATCATAGTTGGGTGCATGACAAGGTGTACCCAATGGCACAGTCTTCACCAAATGGCCCTCGACCGTGCGATTGAACCGAGCCCACGTTGTCTCGGAGGGCCAGCATTTTTCGCCTGGAAAGCAGCGACACGCTGTCGAGGCCCATGCCTGCGACGAGGCTGCCAACAGCGTGGCGGCGACCGTTTTCCACCAAGGCATATTGTAATGAGTGAAGGGAGGAAAACGAGGTGCTCTTCCGACTCGATTTTCAGACCCCTGCCTGGCCTTGGAATTGTCTCTTTAACTTGCACAGATCAGGACGGGGGCCTTATTTACGGCCATCGCCCTTGACTTTTTCAACCCGCAGCGACTGCTGCAGCGCAGGTGCATGCCAACAGGAGGTATGCGAGCCGTGGCGGGATTGGCTTTTGCAACTTGGACCCTCATGCTGTGTTGAATTTTGATTCGATTGCATCTGACGCGGCAGGTAAACAACATAGTTTATGCACTACTGCACGCTTTAGAACCAAAGCGGTCGACTAGACAAACTTAACTGCGAGTGTCAGACTCGCGTTTTACCTACCGTTCTTTTCTCTCTCGTGCAATTGCAACGAGGAGTTGTTCTGCCTCAGGTTCTCGGGTGGACATGGAAAGATTGCCAGGAGGGAGCTGAGACAGAACTTCCGTATTCTTCAGAGGAAGTCGCTCCGGATATCCCCTTCCATCTTCACCTGCTAAGAAGAGCATGTGCTTGTAAATTAAAGCACACACATCAACGTTGAAAGTCCGTTCTTCCACTCCGCGAAAGCTTGTGTTGAACTTTGATCCGAATGAGGCCAAACCCCCTCTGCCCGACACAGCCTGTAGAGAGCCAACACTTGGAGATCTAATCATGCTCATGGATGCCTCGTCCAAGGGATTCTGAGGCAGCCCTGGTCTGATTGTCCTCTAGTGGAGAGTTGAGCTGGAGGTGGGTGCAAGTGAAAAGATGGCGTGGCGAGAGGTCTCTTGTCAAGATTCTCGCCTGGGAGTGAATGAAGTGTTGAATGCCCATGGCCAAACTTACCTATTCTTTCACAAGAATATACCGAGTGTCTGTCTAAGGTACTGAGCAATCGACCCACGAGTCATCTGTATCAGCCTAGGGTTGTCATGGAGCAGCCTGGGCGATTCCAGTTTCATATAGCAGTTAGTGGCTGTATCGCGCAGTACGTGCAGTTCGCGGCTCTTGATTATACCGATATGGAAAGTATCAGATGGATGGACATTATAATGTCGTATCTTGATTGTTCAACGTAGATCGCGCTGGTGTGAAATATACAGTAACAGTAAATCCCAGGAGTATAAGCATCGCTAAACCAGACCAAATCGAATCCAAAGACTTCGATGACGGAAAAAAGAAAAAAGATCCCATCCAAATACACGAGGTGCAGGTGGAATGATTACCCGCAAGAACCCAGAGGTAACCAAGTCTGCCATGCCTCACTGCATGACTAATGCAATGCACCAGAGATATAAGGAAAAGGTTTCACGACGTTGGGATCCCGTATGTAAGAGCAAGGTATTTGCGGAAAATGCAAAGGTTGAGAGAGATGAGAGACAATATAGAAGGTGGAGAGGGAAGACGGCAGAGAGGCGAAGAGTTGAGAGAGAAAGAGACACACACAGAGAAAGCTTTTGGAAGTATCCGCAACTTCGTAGAAACCAGGAAACAGATAAATTCATGATTCAAGTGTTCGCTTCGTCCCAAAGTGATCATGTCAGACTAAAGCCGCCAAGGTGTATAGACCTCTCTCAAGAGTAGAAGGTGCTCTTCTGGAAACTCTCAGGGGTGATGTCACCCATCTTGCCCTTGAGCTGTGGTGGCTGCTCATTCGCCGGCTTGGTAAGGGTGGTCAGGCTCTGGGTGCGCTCGTGGGCGGCACTGCTCTTCATCGTGCTGGTCCGTGTGGCAGGCTCGCTGCCTGTTGTGATGGCCTGCTGTGCTGGACGTCGCTGAATGGTCTCCAGGTATGGACCAGGCAGGTAGCCAACACGACCATCACGGGCACGGCAACGCCACCACTCAGACGCGTTACCCATGGGATCAGATTTGCTTAGAACAGCAACGATGTCTCCCTTCTTCACGGCCAAGTCAATACCGTTGCTCTCCTGCGTCTCAGGAGAGTAGTCATACAGGACACGGCAGAAGTCCAGTTTAGCAGGGTCCATCACCCCGCTCTGTGGCTCGCCGTTGGGTCCGATCATCTGCTGTCGACGCTTGGCCTCCTCCTCCTGGGAGCGAGCAAGGGCCTTGATCAACTTGCCCATCAGGTAAGGTAGACCAAAGACAGCAATCAGGAACATGAAGAACGGCTTCTTGGATGGCTTGGCCGGAGCAGGCGAGCCATCAGGGAGGGTCCCGGACGCGGAACGACCACCCATAAAGGCGGCAAAGGCAGCGGGAGTGAGTGCTGTGGCATCCGCTGGAGGTGGCCGACCGGTGATTTTGGCAATGAGTGTTCGGAACCAGCGAATGATTGTGAAAATCCCCAGGGCCGAGCCGAGGGTATTGCGCAGATTGCCAAACTGCTCTGCGACGGAGACCATTGCTATTCATTCAAATCAGTGAACATGTTCATGGAGTCCATAGCTGTTTCGAGCACCCAGACTTACCGAAGAACGAGCTATGTGTAGCCATATACGTGCTCTCGAGCATTTGGGCAAAGCCGCCAAATGCCCCCACGATACTTTCAATCATCTGAAAGGTCGCCTGCGTGCTTTGACTGAAAGATTGGGTCAAGCTATTGGGATCGTTGGGATCCTGCCCTGGCATGCCCCCATACATGCCTCCCATACCGCCATACATGCCACCCATGCCCCCGTAGCCGCCGTACATGGAGCCCATGGAGCCCATGGAGCCGAATCGGGAATAGGGGGATGAGTAGGCACCGTAGCCACCATATCCTCCATATGGCGTTGTCGCACCGAAGCGCGACGCACCGTAGGGTGAGTATGTGGCCGCATTTGAGTTGACTGTTGTGCTGAGAGTACTCGGACGTGAGGGAAGCGCGGGCGCGCTGGAGGTGCTCGTTGCCGCGGGGCCAGCCGCGGACGGCGAGGTCGAGGTCATAGCGGTTGAACTTGCGGGAGCAGCAGAACCTGTCGCACGAGCCGATGTTAGATCAGAGGAGGTGCCAAGGAGAGTGATAGGGATGCAAAAGGAGACAGAGGTGGTAAATGGATGTAGGCAGGAATTCCGATCCAAATGCATGAGGATGCTGCGCGCTCGATTGGCGGAAGCAGCGAGAAGACGGTGAATAACTGACCAGCCGCGGCACCTGCTCTCTCCCAGGGCTTGGGAGGCGACACCGACGCCATGATCGAGATCAAACTTGCATCGGGCCCAATGCAGGCAGTGTGATTCACAGGTAATCGAAGAGCTCGTGCAAGGGGATGAGCTCTGCGAGGGCCAAGGGCGGTGGTTGTAGAAGGTGGTGGAGAGTGGAAGTGGATCGATACTGAATGGGAAGTATGGGGGAAGAAGAAGAGGCGGAGAAGCGAGAAGGCGGAAACGGGAGAGACTCACACCAGAGTCACGGTGCTGTCAGACTAAGAGGAACAACCCCCGTAGTCACGATTGGGAGAGTGCCTTTTTGACTTTGTGCCGGACGAGATCAAGTGGAACGGCTGTCTTTACTCTTGCTGTCGTTGGACGAATTCAGAACGTTTCGATGGGCCCGGGGAAGGGATGTGCATGTGGCCGGCAGTGGAGAAGAAGCCGAGGATGTCGGCGTTGGCCGATTTGGGGGGCAAGTCCACGCAGAGATCAGGTGATCGGCTCACCAGGAACACAACAAGTCGAATGTTAGCCCTGACCAGTGACGAGGATGGGGTTTGTCTGAATGAAAAGCAAACCCGGTCGTTGTCTTGCAGTAGTATTGCATAAGGTAGAAGACTCCATTTAGCGGCGTAGAGGCGTAGAAAATTTTCGCGGTGGCGAACCAGCGACCGGTCAACAGGTCCATAGACTCCATACTCCGTAGTCCGTATGTACAGTTCCTCCAAGTCGCTGGCCAGCCGCGGCAAAGATCCCGAGGGTCGACGCAAGCGCCGAGGGCGAACACTAATGAATGAGACAAGTATCCAGAGCAAAATACATTCGGACGGACAGAGATTTCGGTGGATAAATGCTTCGAAATACTACTTACTTAAACAACGAAGAACCTGCCAGAGAGTACTTGCCTGAAGAAGGAATCTCCGTATTCGCCGTGACTAGTGAAGCTTGTCAAGCAAGGTCTATCACCGATTTGAAACTAGTCTTCTATAAACTCGACGGACATCCAATGATTTAATACTAGATCTAATGGAGTGGTACTGTTGAGTTCAAAGTACACGCGAATATGCAATATTCGTGCAAATGCCCAAAGACAATAATCAACATCAGACGGCGCGACAAGTGCAGTGATGAAATGGCGGCACTGCAATTGGAAAGATAGGCCAAACCCAGACAAAACAAATGATCATCAAATGGAGCATCCGGAACACCGCAACAGAATGAGACGCGTGGTACGCAATTTTATGTACAGGAAGATCATCCTAGCGACGAAAAGAAATGAAAGGTCGCAGGAGAAGATTGGATATCTGAGGGAAGGAAAAGAGGGAACTCAAAGTTCACCGTGAGAGTCGACAGGAGAACGTCGAGCAGTTTCTGTGGGAAGCTTGAGCTTCCAGGGACGAGGAGGCACAGGCAGTCCCAGCCAAAATGCCCAAAGGCGTTGAGCTTCCCAGGAGATGATCTCATATCTGCGGAAACCGAGTTAGCCAACTGCGAACAAAGAAAGGCGTGCGGTGTCAAACAATGAAAACTTACAACGTGCGAGGAATGTCCATCCAGCTCCGCAACACATACATCGTCACATCCCAGACCATCTGGAACTCGGTCTTCATATCGTCGAAGTCGGTCGCGTCCGGTTTACGAGGAGGACGTTCCCACGGCAAGCGATCCACTTTCTCACGGCCGTAAATGAAATCGCCATCGTCATTCTCGTAATAGAACTGGCCCGTGCCATCGTGGAACAACTTTTTGGCTTCCTTGCTTTCCTTCCGGGCCTCAACGTGATTGTGGGTGGAGGGAGCAGAGTGTCGCAACGGGAAGGCGCGATCGTGTCCGGCCGCCAGAGCCTCGTGGAAACTGCGAGCAGCGGCAATGCTGTGAGAGATGCGACCCAGTGTATTGACCAGAGCGACGAGCTCGGTCCGTCGCAGGGGTGGGTTCTCGCCATTCTTCGTCTCGTCATACTCAAAGAGCACCTTGAGAGCCGTGCCATATCCGTTGACTTGCAATTTGCCCCAGAGGCGGCACTTGTCGCAACCCACACAGTCCATCAGCCGGCTGACATTGCGGAAGCGGTTGCGGAAGTCCTCCTTGAGCCCTTGCGCCATGGGGTCTTGAAACATCAGCTGCTCGTCAAAGATCTGAGGGGGTCGTGAGAGAATCTCAGTCAATTGATTGACCCGCTGCTTGGTGTCGATGTCCTGCTCCGGTTCGCTTGTGCAGAAAGTGTAATTTTGCAGGTGCTTGCGTAGTTTCGCGACCGCTCGTGACACCAACGCGTAGTTGAAGTACATGTTGGAGATTCGCTCGGGATGCTCATAGAGCCGCTCCTTGAAACACTGCAGATTAGGGTGCCACTCGCCAGTGGTCTGATTGAGATAGTCCCAGCACAAATGGGTAGAGATGGAAGCATGCATTCCACTGATGAGCCGATGGAACACCCGTTTCTCCAGACACTCGTTGTCCAGCGAGGCGTCTGGACGCTGCGCCTCTTTCTGCAGTACGTTTCGGAAATCCGAGGCTGCCTGTACAGCACCCAGTCCGCCCAGGGGAGAGCTCAAGACTTGGCCCTCGGCCGCGGCCTTCACAAAACAATTCTCACGGTAGATCGCGTCCCACACCTGATGCGCACCGGGTCCAGAGTACCCAGTGAAGCGCTCAGGGTTATCCACCAGACTGACATAGTCACCCTTGCCCGCGGAACCCTCATCCTCGGGGACGCAGTAGTCCCGATCATCACACTCATCGTCGTATTCCACCACGCAGCTCTCGCCAACATTTTCTCCGAGCTCTCCCTGCAAAGGTCGTTTCTCTGGACGTTGAGCTTGTACTTGTCGAGGTGGGTGATTTGCCTTGGGACCTTCCAACTTGCTCAGTTCGTCGGCCCGCCAGACCAGCGGGATATCTTCTTCGGATTCAATAGTGTTCACGGAGCAGGCGATGTTACCACACATGCTACTTGAATCTGACCAGAAGGGACATTCACTATTGAATAGGTTGAGTCGGTAGTATGAAAAGAAGTCGGTCTCGGAGGTGATCGATTGCAACAGGGTATAAAGATCGTCATTGAGTTTGTTGATCGTGCCGTACGAGACACAGGCATCGGACACCATGGCGGTAGGGTCAATCTGACCGAGACGTCCATATGTCAGTTTTGCTTCTTGGGGGTACGGAAGGACACTCATCCTGTGCCTTTGATCTTTCAAAGATGGATAAGCGGACCTACCGCGCATGTGTTCATCGAGTCTCCACTCGCTGATGCTTGACTGCTGCCATGAGCAACATGAGACAGAGCGAACACGGCCGCGTAAAACACGCCTGCCGCTGAACGCATTATGTCGAGGAATTTGCGTGAATCAAAAGAGGAAGAAGAAGCAATTGCAGTAGCTGTGGGTATGTAACCCGTATAGATCGCCTGGCGGTTGGGAAATTGCAGTTGTTGCGCAGGCGGTTTCCCCAAGTGGCGCTGAAAAGTGGAAGAATCGGCAATGAGACCAAAACACTTGACGCTGGGTTGAATCAGTTGCACGACCTTTCTACAGTGTCACCACCCAGTGCTTCAAGGTCATACAACAATGATCGAGGCTGATGAGGTCGGGGATAAATCAAAGAATGAGCGAAATCGACACAAGCATCATCCTTCGATTTTCAACGAAGAAGTGGACAGATTGGCTCTTTCAATGGAAATCTGGCCATGTTCTTTTGGCAAGTCTGCGGATCGGCCGACCCGCAGTGCCAAGAAGTGCAGCGTGGTCTGATCTCCGTTCAATCATCCGGCCAACCATTGATTGGTCAGCCGTACTTGGGGGCGACCTTGAAGAACCTGCCAGGCCGCGGCATGGGATTAGTAAGATGCAGGCAGGTAACTTAGTTATTTGGTATAGTAGGTAACTTCACTAGGTACTTAACTACCTGGAAGGTACATAATTCCCAAATTCTGTCGTATAAACTGGAATGTTAGCCCCTGTCATAGAGACGGCGTTTGCTGGAACTACTCTACCTATTCTATCAGGAGGGGCACACGAAATATCTATAATATGCGTTTTCAAAGTTGAGAATCCTCGACCATTCTGTCATTAGAAATTCCCGTTCAACCGCATGTGACCCACCGAAGCGGTCTGGATATGTTTGGAGGCAGTTGAGAGAAACTTGCATCTATCTACCTACTATGGAATTTATGCTACGATATCAATTCAGCCCTGCAAAGTCCTCTGCATAATTCATGCTTCACGTATAGAGTTAGGTTGGAACTAGCAGAGCTCCACTTGCATAAGCAACGGTTTGCTGGATCTCAGCAACACTTCGGAATCGATCGGTATCCTTTTTCAACATCACGGATTCACAATCAACCAGAAGGGACCTATCGACCTAACAACCCCTCTGCCTACAACATTCGAGGAATCAGTCCATCCATTCGCAGTCAGATTCGATCGTCTGAATGCATTATCTCGGTTCGCTGGTCCCGTCATCCCGTCATTAGGCTTCCGTTGACCCCGGTCCTTCCGAGTATATCCTTATTGAAGTACGTTTATGGTAAGTGCACCGAGACGGTTCACGTGCAATCGTACGGAGTTCACGTATGGATCGACGCTCTACCCGACTCCCGAGCAGGTCGGTCCTTTGTCTCGGGAACTCCCAAGCCGAAACTTACCCAGACCTCAAAGAAAGATTGATTCGACCGTATTGCTCCCGTCTGCCGTGGCGATGGCGTTGAAGGACTCGTGACTCGAGCCCCCAGAGAGTAAGAATTGCCTTTTCGGTGCATCAATAAGCTCTATACTTGTGGATCATTTCTTCCACCTGCAGTCGTCTCTTTGAAATCCTAATCTTGCAGTAATCTCCACTGCCGAATCGCTAGTTGAATTGGATCATCCCGCGAGTAAGAATTCACCTATACTCGCTTCACCGTGTCAATGTACGGACACCTTCCAATCCAGCCCCGGGAAGATATTTAACAATGGGGCGCTCCCATTCGATCCACCTCATCTATCACCAATATCCCATCCTCTTCTGACCATTACCCAAAATGCTATCCATCAAAGTCACCTCCCTCCTCACTCTTTGCAGCCTTTTAGCCATGGCCGTAGCAGCACCCGTCGATCTCCCCAGATCCAACCCCGTCGTGCCTGACTGGGGAGACTGTCCCGGAAAATGGAACACCAAGCCAGGCGGTGGCTGTCGACGCGTGTGAGTCCATGGCTTGCGCATGGAAGTACTCCCGTCAGCCCGGGCAGGGGCTTGGGCTCGGGCTCTGGCGCGGTCCGGCTTTTGTCACTTACTGGTGCGCTTCCAAACTGTGATGCGCGAGTGCCCGTTGGGGATGGAATTGGAGGAGACTGACGGGTGTAGGTAAAACATGCAAGTGGTTGTGCATCGGCTTTGATGAGGGCTGGCTTCCAGTTTTGCATCAGATCCAATAACTGCATTGCTGGTTTCAATGTGGTCAATGTCGTTTTGGGTGGAAAGAAGCTCCCGCAGATTACGCATTACGGGTGGGGACGATGGAGATGGAGATGGAGATGTGCTGGTAACTCCCACGATTTATCCGAGAAGTTGTTTTGCCAGGGCTTTGAGATTGAGATTCGAGGCACGGTGTAGGTGATGGTAGACATGCGTCTTGTGATTGAGGGGGCATATAGGCATTCCGTGTACGATAACAGGTGCTCCATGGTGTTGTTATTTTGATTCGTTTTATTGATCTACAGAGTACAGACTGCTTGAACAGGTGGAATGCCCACCGTGATCTGTCAGATAATGCACGTGGTGAAACCGCAGTAGTAGGACGATAGGATCTCTGAGCTTCAACCAATTCCTCGGACAGTCTCCTTGTTTGGAAGGCAATCTGGAATGTAAATTTCATTCATTAACTCGACTGAAACAGAAATCTAGGCCCGAAAATTGGAGAACGCCACTTCCTGTCTTGCATGATACGCCTATCCAAACCTCTAGCACGGTGTATCAATCCATTGGTCTCACCCTGAGCAAGACCATATCACAGAATCTGAAACGGCAAGCGAAATCCCCCAGATATCCATTCCCAGTCATGACGTCGTAAACGAAACATCATCATATACCAGATCCCGAGGAAATAAGAGCAGAAAGAGTTGCGCAGGAACCAGACTGCACAAAAATCAATCACAAAAGCCACAACCTGCGCCAGAACCAAAAAAAAAGCATGGAGGAAACCAGGAGAGACCAGAAGAGTCCAGGAGAAATGTGTAGCGACGCAACAGCCACAGACCTAGCAGGCAAAGAATCCACCGTTAGATCAAAGAGTCCCTCGACGCTCCTTCCAGCGCTTCAGACTGATCTTCCTCTTCAGGTTTGAGAGGTAGTTGGGATGAGGCTGGTTGTAAAAGGGATCATTTTTGAAATCCTCATCGGTGAATTTCTGCAGATAAGGCCGTTAACCACTCATCTCAAAGTGAGAGATACAGGCATCACTTCACATACCTTTCCCGGCGTGCGCATGAAAAGTCCATACTCGTCCATCATATTGGATCCCTCCTCGTACTGGTACGTTTGTCCCTCCCGATCCGTCGTACCAGGAGGAAAGTACGCGACACCATCCAAGGGCCGGTGGCTCTCGATGGTGTCGATGATCTTGTCTCGGGGAGTCGCCCGCAGCGTCTCCTCGATGGAATCCTTGACAGCCTCAATAGGACTGTTCTTGCTGACCCGGTTGCGCTGGGGGGACGCAGCATCGAAGGGCCCCTCGTGGTGGTAGGCACCGAAAGAAGCATCGTCCAGCCGATCAATGATATCGGGCTGAACGTACTGGGAGGCGTATGGAGGGCGGACCTGTAAGCGTCGCGGCCGCCTGCCGGAGGAGTTGTCGCGGCGGGAACCGTCGCGCTGTGACTCTCTCCCGGGAGACCTTTTCCCGGGACAGACTTGGATATGTCGGCGGGTGGTCGTCGGGAGATCGAGACCACCAGGAGTCTTCCGAGTCGGATCCAGACGCGCGAGAGTGGTATTCCCGGGACGGGATCTTTGAAGACCGGTGGTGGTAGTGAGAGGAGTAGGCTGGTGGTGCCTCGGCCATGTAGCTGGCATACGGGTTCCGGCTGTCCATTGACGAAAAGGTCGAGCGGCGGTCCCGGCCGCTCTGGCGGTTCAAGGGATGGTGTGGGTGATAGCGTGAAGCCATCGAGTTGTACTCGATGCCCGGCATTGTGAATATCGGACAAACACCTACGAACAGGTCGTGATCGTTGCTTACGGGGGATGACACCTTCTGCGCACCCTCTGGAGTGTACCTCGACGGAGAGAACAACCCGGCGCAATAGTGGCGGGGTCAAAGTATATAATGCGCAGAGGTACACAACGGTCTCGTGGTCCAGACAGTGGTCGAGACAGTGATCTCGAAGGAACGGAGAAAGTATAGCCGGACGGTAGAGAGAAATGGAGGAGAGAGAAGATCTGATGAAAGACGGAGAGAGAAGAGAGGAAGAAGGAAGATGAAGCAGAGGCAAAAGACTGCAACGAAGGGCGAATCGATAAATTAAAGATCGTCGGGCAAGCTAACAGTACGATTCAACGTGAGGTCCGACGCCCAAAGAAGCACCTCAGGGACTAGACCATCTCACACGGAAGAAAGCGGGAGGGTGACGTGACAGACTTGCGTGTGCGTGCCTTACTTTGGCTCTGGTGGTGTCTCTGGTACCGCTGCCTGTCACTTCCGAGGTTCCGTACGCTGCGCCCTAGGTGGTTCCAAAGTAAGGTAATCCTTGGGATGCAGTACTTCAGTTACCGGAGTGTACGAGATGCGATAATTGGAAAATAGCTTCAGCTTGAACCGTCTTTTTTATTTTAGTATTGACTACTACTGACATACTGCGCACTGACAGTAGTGGAAACTGGCGAGTCCTCACTGCTCAGTCCTCATTGAGTCGTTACTAGACGCACGAGACTGGGTGAGTGTGTCCCTGCAGTCGTCATTCAATCGAGGGTGGAGACCCCTGCTTATCGATAAGCAGGGACGGCCCCCACTCTCGTCCGGCCTGACACCGTCACGGGACCACCCTAGTGGCCGAGTCACTCATCTCCGACGGGCGCTTGTCCCATCGCAGTAAACCGTTCGATGGTGGCTTTTTTTTGGTTCCCTTGGGCTTCTCCCCACTTGGGCCCTTGGGCTACGGGAGCCTCGGGCGAGGCTCTCGACTCAAGAGGCTCCCCGGTGGATGACGATCTCTCCCGGTGATATCATCCGGGGGCAAAGGGTGCCTCAGAGCCCACACTCCTTCTCGAGTCTCCATCGCGGTGGGGGTCTCGGAGGGAGGTGGGATGGCCCTCACGTCAGCGTCTGTGCGGCAGTGGACCGAGACTCGAAAGGCGATGCAGATCCGCATGGTCGTCGGGCACACGGTGACACCTTCACGTCCGGGTCCAAATCGATGACGCACGGGCCGTCTGCGAGGCATGCACGCGCTTGGATCCAGTCCATGCGAATTGATCGAGGGGCAACAGAATCATGACTCCACGGACTAGCCGCGCTCCTGACCTACAGAATTGATGGACAACATTTGAATACATCAATCCAGTACGGTGAGAGGCAACTCTGGGTCATCGGGTTGGAGAACACTCTTGAACCTATAGTATGCAGCGAGGCACATATTGTTCAAATGTACAAATAGGCAGTAGTGGATCACTCGGCCACGCATTGCCGATGCGTGACTGCAAATCATAGGTGCCGAGTCAGCCTCAAAATCGAGCGCTATTCCAGGGAGGATTTGGAAGAGATATCGAATAAATGTACCGATGCCAAGTCCACACACTTTGCAGCTCCTTACTGTCAATCAGTGATCTAAGCACGGGCAAGCCGCTTGGACCGAAACGAGGGCAAGTCCGACTTGGCTGTTTCGTTGAAAGAGAACAATTGGTCATCTACCCTCGAGCGTCAAAAGCTGCAGATGTCGGTCAGTCCCCCAGAAACGTAGGCAATCTTTCTCCCTTGGGTATGAAACTGCTCGACATGTTCAGTTGTTTACCACTTCCCCGAGTACTCCGTGTGGGGTGGAAGTGATAGGGCTCGGTGAGCGAGCTTCTTCACCAGCGTCATACCTGGCGACCCGGCTAGAGCGGAGGCTCCCCTGATGATGGATGAACGAAGGTTCGCACTGCCACTAAACTCGGGTAGATTGATGGGAATAACTTGATTGCCCTTGCTTGTCGCGATGGAGCAATGTAGCGCGTGCGATCATCATCGTCACAGACTGATACCGCTGCCGCATCGATAGAAGCCACGGATGCCATCTCATCCACCCCGGTAAGGGCACCTGAGCAAAGATGGGGAAGACCCGGTTCACCGCCAGGTCAATCGGTCCGCAACTCTAGAGTCTCTACTCCCCTCCACATCACTGGAGTGAACCCGGCTTCGGTTGCTGGTTCTGCAAGGGTGATCTCCGTCACCCTTGATCCGAGCCCACGGTCTCATTCTGCGCTCGACCTACGACGTTAGGGTGTGTCGTGTGTACTGTATCCACATCCTCCAAACTGCAGGCTAGTACCTGCCTTGGTGCGTCCCGCAACGTTTCTCGTCGCAGCGATGAAACTTCACCTCTCCTTGCCGGGCAATGGGCTTTGATCGCCGGCTCTCCGGGTCTATTTCTTGAACCTTTGCTGCCTCGCGAACTCGGCGGGCCGGGGCCGAGTCGACTACGAAAATGCCACTCAATAACACGCTTGTCGGGTAGATCATGTAGATCCCTGAGTCATGTGCGAAGATGATGTACCTTCTTTCCCATGAGTTTGACCGATCTTTGGAAAAGGGCCCAGGGTCTAGGCTCGTTCGATGGGGGTCTCGCCTACAGAGTTACATTGGCAGAGAAGTGCTTACGGAGTTACATTCAAGGCCACCGAGTTCTGGAAGGGTCGCCGGGGGTTATGGGCGATTGCCGAGATCAATCTGGACATCTCATGGCAGAATGGAACAGCGTATCGTCTAATGATAGACTCTCGACTCGTCGCCATGGTGAAGCCTTGTGCAGTTGCATGGAGTGGTGGTCAGCATTTGCATGTCTACAGCTAGTTAGTACATACTAACTACATAGTAGTTATCATGTTCCATTTGAACTTACGTGAGTAGTATGGTACCACATACCAAGATGAGCAATTTGTAGGCTATCCCGGAAGATGCCTGAGACCTCGGGTGCTGTGACTTGAATCATCGATGGACACTCATTCAGGATTTCTGTTGCACTTGCACTTGCAGCCGCGTCTGACGTGCGACATATCGGAGCGCGCTGTTGCTCTTCTGTTCCAGTACCTCGACATGCCTTTTCTTTCCCTCCTTCAGCCCGCGTGGTACAGTGCCTCTGTCAACCTAGGATAATCCATCTGCGATGGGGCTGCGGCAGCCACAGCCGATCCTCAGAGGCGACGCCCCCGGGCAAAACCTGGTTGCCAAGCTCTTCTCCGCAAACCCAAACGAAAACAAACTCAACAGACTAAACCGCGTCCGTCAAATCACCGCCAAAAAAAAAAAAAAAAAGTCAATCTACTACTTCCTTGAAATCCGGCATGTCCCTAGTGCCGTACTCCGACTCCGAGTCAGATGCAGAACGCTCTGCAGCATCTCCACCCGCCAAGAGACCACGTCGTGAATGCTCGTCCCTAACCTCGACCTCGGCGACGAGCCAGTTACCGCCCTTGCCTCGGGCTTTTCATGACTTGTATGCCTCGAGCACGCGGGTCAGCGTGAAGGATGATCCGAGTCTCCATGGGGGTCGCAAGCGTGTCATTCCCCACATGGAAGGCAACTGGCCCACCCATGTCTATCTGGAATGTACGTATGCGCCCTTTTTACGGCACTGGGTGGCCCGGCCCTGCCCTATTCAACTCTGCCCTGTCCCGTCTGAATTTGCTCCTGTTCGGCTTTTGGTCTCGTATCTGATGGTTGCTGATCAGGGTACCCGGGGAAATCCGAGCTCAGCTGGCTGGAAAGCCTTTTGAAACGAGCCAACGAAACCAGACCATCATCACATGAGGCGGAGGAGGAGGAGGAGGAGGAGGAGGATGGTGGTGATGATAGTCATGATGGTCATTCAGCCGACGCTGTGCACCTCCACAGCCTTTTACACAGTGATCTAGGCGCGCAGCTGCCATTACACATCAGCTTGTCACCCCCCGTTGTACTACGGACAGAGCAGCGCACATCGTTCATGGAGTGCCTAGCCACGTCAATACAAGCCTCCCACGTTTCACTGTGAGTCAAGTCGCACAGTCTCCCCCTCCACGGGTGTGAAAATGCGTCGATCAAAAGCCCCCCTCATCTCGGAAAACAACACAACCCAATTCTCTCATTCCAACGTCCCTCGTTCCTGTTCCACCGCGCTAACTTTCCCATTCAAGATTCACTGTCGTCCCGGACACCCTCAAGTGGGTATCCAATCGCGAGCGCACACGCTGGTTCCTGGTCCTCCACGTTGCGCGACCGACTGGGAACGAGCTCAATCGTCTCTTGAATCGGTCGAATCGGACGCTGGCGGGATTCGATCAGCCGCCACTGTATGCATCCTCGCGTGGCGCTCCTCGGAATCGCGCACAGGCATCGCATGGTCGAGATCCAAGACCCAGTGGGACCGCGCCTGTCGAGGACTACTCGGATTGCTTTCACATCTCGCTTGGCTGGAGCTTGAGGGAGCCTTCTCAAGCGGAGAAGGACCGCGTGGCGCGGTTGGGCTTGGGGGCGGTGCAGAACGTGGAGGTCAAATTTGATAGTGTCAAGGTGAAAATAGGCAATCAAGTGGAGAGCATCAGGCTTTCGGCGGAGTGTTCGGGGCCTTCGTCAAGGTGAGATCCTCGACTGGAGGATCTTAACCTTCTTGGATGGACACTTTAGGACTTCCTCTATCTTGGGGATCTGCCTTTGCAGGCGTCGACGTGTCAAGTCCTGAGTTGACTTGACGCTTAAGATTGAAGCTCATTGCATGACAGCCACGTTTGGTCATGGACAAATTGCTAGTATATGATCGGTAGACCTATGGCAATGCAGCTGGAGTCCTATGATAGTAGTCTAAAATCCCTTTCGCCTTCCCGCCTACCGTCATGTTGCGAAGACCCATCCAGTGCACCGAACTACCTAGACATCATTTTGCAACCGGAGACCTACAATAAGACGGACTGACGCTGTAGGTCTATGATTCTCCGCGGCCAATATTCCTCGTAAAGATCATCTCAAAAGAACCCCAGAACGACCCTTTAAAGAGCCCTCTGCTGATAAAAAGTACGCTTTGACACAGATTTGATCTGCACATTTTTTTCACATACATCTTTATCTGTCTACTTTGTGACTTGTGCCCTGAAAACAAAACACACCTCCAGGTTCAAATGACACTAATCCAGTCCCCTCACTAATCAAGCTAGTGATGGCTCCTTCATCCTAGTCGCTGAAGCATGCTCGGGGTCCTCTACCTGATCACAACCCAACCACGAAATATACGCCCAACAATGAGGTTGTCATCGTCCAATCTCCAAGGTTGGCAACTATTGAGGTTAAGGCTCCTGCTCATTGACAACGGACGATGGTCTGTCCATGTTGGCTCTATCTGCTTGGCTGAAGCGGAGACCAACGTCTCGCGCCTTCCATTTACGCCGTTCCTTCCTTCCATCACCAAGATGCTCGAATTTTTCAATGGCGCGCTCATCATGACGCGTGCTTCCTTCAGTTGACTCACTTGGCTCTCACTTGACTCTCACTTGGCTCTCACTTGACTCTCACTTGACTCTTCTCCTTCTCTCAATTGTCGGTGTCCCCGTCTTCCGTTTGAAGTCAAACTTTCATCGACTCTGCTTGAACTCTGCTTGCTTCCCTCCTTTCTGTCTTCTCGAGACTCAAGCTCACAGCTGAGGCCATCGAGAAAATGTCGTCTCCAACTGAGGTAAACAACGCCTCCAAACGTCTTCCTCTCCGCCAAGTCGGCCAAAGCACTGCCCAGCTCGTGCCCAAAGACACGGCAAAACTCAAGATTCCTGAGCTTCCCGAACGCACATCGTCGGCGCTGACCCTCAGCAATTTGCATCAGCTGCAACAGGCTCGGAGTAGATGCGTCAGTGCATCATCTCAGATGTCGGCCAAGACCACAGACTCCCTGGAATCGAACGCCTCGGATTTCCTGGAAGCCAAGATTGAGCAGTTGACAGAGTTCGAGAAGTATTACGAACTCGTCAAGCGTGGAATCCTCGAAGGGCACGAGCAGCAGCTGCTTTCGAACGAAGAGCTCCAGTCGCACATGGCTCCAGTTGTGACAAAGCTCGCAGTGACAACCTCAACGCTGAAATTCTTGAAGCGGCAGAAAAGGCATTTGGCGGACGACCTTGAGAAGGACACTGCTAGTATACGCCAGAAGATCGACGGAGAGCCGGATGGCCTACTCGAGCGGGCCTACGTCCAGGCAATACTCGACCGCGTGATGAGAGCTACCGTCAGACAGGCCGCGACCTCCTTCAATGCGAAACGGTTCAAGGAGAAGGTCAATCAACTATACGGCATTACCGACCAGCGCCCGAGCAAGGACCTCAACTGGTGCCATGTGCTCGGAGTCTGGAGAGACGCTGATGGAATCAAGGCTGCACATATCGTGCCCAAAAGCCTACGTGCCGGGGATCTTGACCACATTTTTGGTCAAATGGACGACGACATCAGCTCCGACCCTCAAAATGGTCAGTTCTATCTTTTTTCCCAGCGGCGACAACATCATATTCACATCTTGTTTGTTCCTCTAGCCGTAAACCTCCACAGTGTCATTGAGCGTCACCTTGACCAAGGTACCCTCGTCATTGTTCCCGCGCCTGGAGATTTCACAGTGCCGACGACATGGCGATGCTTGGTTCTGGACCGATCCAAGGACAAGGACATTATTTGCGATCGCAGTTCAAACATGAAGGGTCTGGAGGGAACTCCTGGCCGTGGTGACGCTTTCGTCAGAGTAAAGGTCAGTCTAGACAATAGTCAATCAGCCGTCCTTGCCCACTCTAGCAAGGCTTTTTTTAATCATACTCCTCAGGACCTACACAATCGCCCTCTGACGTTCTTGAACAACAACCGACCCCGACGCCGATATCTCTATTTCCGCTTCATCATGTCCTACCTGAACGCGAAGAGGCAGAATGTGGTCAACTTGTCGGTTCCCTTGGAGACGAAGCAATTCTGGCCTTCGCCCGGCGGCTACCTTCATGAATCCACATTGAAGATCATGGCAAGGTCTGTGTCAGGATGCGAGTTGCCGCCTCCGCTCATCTCTGGACAGACATTCAAGGAGAGCGACGATCCTTCTCAGGACGATGATGCCGGCAATACGCTCGCCGCGGCTATCATCGAGCCCGCACTCTTCTCCACGTCGGCATTGGGGAAGCCAAGCTTGAAGATGAGGAAATTGCTACTCGAGACTTTGCACTCCCCTGTCCATGGGACGGCCCCAGAAGAAAACGCGGAAGACGATGGGGTGTAATCTTGTTTGTTGTGTGTGTTACTGTGTTGACACTGTTTGATAAAATCGCAGGCGCTTCATCCCAAATAGCTGTGATGCTACTGTACATTATTGTCACTAGGCAAGCCTGTAGCAATTACCTGGCAGCTCTTAGCTTCATATCCATGATTTTTCAATGTCATCCGGCGAACGATTTTGTTTGTTGCGCATTTCCCCGGTCCCGTGCATGTCGTTGTCGTCGGTTTCGTCGTCGGTTTCGTCGTCGGTGTTGACTCGATCTCCACAGCAGTCTTACGTAATGATCAAGCGGTCCCCAAAGCACTTCCACCTACCGGTACCTTAACTATCTACCCGTGGCGGCAGCTACCAACGTAGCAGTATGCGAGCGTTTCACCCCTGCCGGTCGCGCTTCTTGGTGACCAACATCATATCCCATAGCAGCATCTCTTCTTTGCAATGCAAATTCCCACAATCACTCTCGTACGAGAATCAATATTCGAACATCCGTCCCTGCGCTAGCTTCAGCTGATGCTCTCATCTTAGGAAGACCTCCAATCCTTCCAAGCAACTCATTTCCCCGGTGCCCGATCTCCACTCCAGCCGCCATACCCAGAGGCAGCTGATTCTGTCACCTCAGACACTCGCTCCACGGAAGAAGATGATCTCGGCCACTACCCCGACGGAGTGAAGCGAACTCTGACCGATGAGCAGATTCGCATCTTCAGACATACCGAGGTCCATGCCCTGTTGCGCAAGAGACAGCTCGAACAAGATGATGCGGAATATGAAGCTCGGGCGGGCAAGAGATCCTTGGATGAGGACGCGAGTGTCGAGGTGCAGGATCGAGCGCTGGACTCGTCAGATTCTCCCGTGACGGACACATTGCAGCAGCGGTGCCAAGTGTCGCCTGCTTCGGGGAAACGTCTGAAACGCGTCGATCACGAGGTTCCGGATCAGCCTGAGCAGTCTCTCGACTATGAGGATCATCATGATGATGTCCAAAGCAAGGCTTCGGTTCCAGCTCCAGCTTCAGCTCTGGACCAAACTCAGCGTACGAGACAAGCGCATCCGACCTTTCACGGACGGAAGATCATTTCTTACGATGATTGAGCTGTGCGTGAGAGATGCAAAAGTCAAACAAACATCGAGTCCACAGCTTGCTGCTTGCTTTTTGACTGGCTACAGAGCTGAAGAAAATCCTGAACCGAGGGAATGTCTACAAGCTCACCTCTCAGTGAGTCGGGCATGCCATGCTCCGCCAAAATTTGAGTAAGTCCACAATTTAGACCCTTGTCTCCTGCCCCCGGAAGTCCCCCCTTGACATGATGAAAAGAAATCAAGTCATCCTTAGTCGGAAAACCATACCATTGTAGCTGATGTGTAAGGCTTTGACGACCTTAATCTTCTCTCTGAAAAAAACTGCTCCTATCTTTGTTAAATCCCGAAGCGCATGCACCTTGTTGAAGAACTGGGGGCTAACGAAGAGTCGAACAGGTATCACAACGTCTCTGCAGCGGCTCAATGCAAAGGCCAACTTGGTCCCTGCAGGCGCACATCTTCTTATGTCTGTGACCCATGAAGGGATGGCCTTGAACAATCAAGGCTTGGATACTTTTTGGGTCCACGACTCTCGGCTCTCGTGTTCTTGAGTTGTCCAGAACTACCGACAGTTTCTACGATCAGACCTGCACGAGTAATGAGAGAAGAAGCCCCGACTGGTCATTCTCGGTGCAGTATTTCTTATTCGGAAGGGATGGCGCTGTCAGACGGTGCCCACGAGATACATATTGCTTGTCTCGGCTGGAGGACCACAGATTGTGCCCTGGCAAGGCCGAAGCCGCATACACGAGATGAATCACCTCTCACATGAGACAAATACTCGGAAGATTGAAGCACCAGCAATATGAATTAATGATAATATTAAACCCGGCATAGACTCCGTCCTGTATGCTTTTCCCCAATGCAACGTAAAACAGAGCCCCAACAAAACAAACAAAGAAACGGAAGAAAGAAAAACTCCCGATTACCCCCAACAAACCTTCACGAGTCTCGATAAATGATGCATCATATCAATCACGCATTATTCGCACAGGAAAAGCTCGCGCTACTGGGATTCTCATGGATCGCCTTGCCAGAGACCCAAAGGCCCATTCCGCACTATCGAGCATTCAATTAGCCAATTGATTTTCTCTCTTGATCAAAGTGTCGAATGAGAAGGTATCACGTACAATCACCAGACCAATCCCAATAAGCACCAAGTTGATGATGGAGAACACAATCATCCGCGGCGAGGACGTCCATTGGCCCTTGTGGATGTATAGCCAGAAGACGCCTCCAAGACAGTAACTGAACCAGGATGCGAAAAGGGCCGTCTACAAGTGCGGACAAGAAGAGTGTTAGCATTGTATGAAAAGCCACGGGAAAGAAACAAGGATAGCAGCGGTGGTCGTCATTCCTCTCCTTTCCTGTGTTTGTATCTTGGGGGTGTAGGAGGAAAAAAAACGTACAATCAGGCTGAGTAGGTTGCTGAAAACAGGGATAGCAGCAGAGATAATCCAGGCAATGATCCACAGAGCCGCCGCAATGCCCACCCACGAACTGACTGCGACCCAGTCACGCTTGTGCATACGATCTGTTCCGGCGAGAACGCGCATGTAGACGTATTTGACGGCGACGTGGCCGTTGATTACGCCCGCGAGAATGATCTATTATGACGCGAGAATTAGCCCTAACATTCCCCACCGTGAAACAACCGCGAGCTAGACAAGCATACCGTAGGAAGAGCAATCCCATAACAAATCTTGGCCACTAATGGAGACGCGGAGCCCAAAGCAGGAGAAGTCACACTATCGCCCGCATACCGATAGATCACCAGCGAGGCAATCATATACAGACTGATATCGATACCCTGCAGAAGACAGAGGGACTTGGTAAAGTCCCGAGGGTTCTTCAGCTCCGCCATCAGTCCAAAGTAAGCTGCGTGGCCGGAAAAGGCAAAGACGATATTGCAGACTGCTGCGAAGCCGTGGTATAGATCGGTTTGGGCGACGGCGACGACGCCATTGCCGGGATTTTCAATGCCGACGGCGATCATGCAGATGAAGACGGCGACGATGATGCTGATGAATGCTGGATATGGAAGGGTTAGTCGATTCCTTGTTCCTTGTTCCTTGTTCCTTCCTTGGTAATATCGCGTTTTGATGAGTGGTTACGACGTGGACGTGGACGGACAAAGACTGAACTTACACACAAGAGATAACCAAGACATCTTTTCCAAGGTCCGGGGCAGACAGCACACGAACGAGACTATCGTCCCCACAATCCCAAAGACCAGTGAACAAGTGCCGTGACTGGTGATCGTGTTCATGGCCACGGTAAACGTCAACAGATGACTGGACATGATGAAGATGAGGAAAAGAATCTGGCAGACGCCCATGAATTCGCGACCAAATGAGCCGGCGAGCACTTCGCCGGCGTCCGCCATGTTCATGATATAGGGATACTTGAGTTTCATCTGTCCGATCATGTAACCGGTCCATGTTGCGAGGAGGCCGAGCACGATGATCAGGATGATTGATCTAGAAATCAAGTGTCAGCTTGGGGTTCCTCAAGGGGCCAAACGCATATCTAGGTAGCCCAGATATGAGATGGTGAAGTTTATTGTAAGACGTACGGCACGAGACCTAATGTCGCGACTGCTGCAGGCAGAGAGAGAACACCCAGGGAGACGGTCTCGGCAACCATGACTAGAAGATGTCTGTTAGAACAGTGAATGTTTGGCGCATGTTTCGAGATCAAAAAGAAAGGTCTCCGGTGACTCGTGAGACCCTAGATGTCCACATACGTAAACCGCATTGCCTAAATGTAAATACACTCATAGGGTTAGAACACCGAATCCCAGCCATTGCGGATGGACTAGAAGTCCAAGTTGTCAAAAAAAAAAAAAAAGACATACCACCACTTCAAGACCTTGTACTTGACTTCAGCTCCCTCCTCATTACCAAAAGCATCTTGCTTGTATTCCGGTGAGTCGTGGATCTTGTTCTCGGGCTCGTATTCCACGGGGTAACATGAATCAGAGTTCCTCGTAGACACTCCATTCTCCAGATCTGTGTGCATCGCCGAATGATCCGTTGGCGCACTCATTTCGTCTTGAACAGCTTCCGATGAAGTCATATATCAAGGTAGAATCGAACCGATGGAAATCGACTCAAGCAGTGTCACCGTGAGTAGATGAGCTATAATCAAGACTTGGGAAATCCCCGAACGTAAAGATGTTGTCATAAAACAAAGATTTCGATATGGAAGAAAAGCCAAAAAAAAAAGAAAGAAAGAAGGACATTCAACTCGTGACAACTGCCACAATTTTTGACTCAATTATCGACCGAAGCTGTCCCATTGCCCTTCCTTTTCTACAGTCTACACCCTCTTTCAGGCACGAGGCCGATTCGGAGTGGATCGACAGCCACCGAGGGCACTCCTGGAACCAGTCTTCGGCCCGTCTGCACGAATCACGGGCCGAAGACGTAATGGAATCCATCGAATATGCATCGCGAAGCCGGCGATGGAGTCTGGGCCGAAGAGAAAAAAAAAACTGGGGGAGGCAAGTTCTCTTGAAAAAATCCATCTGAGGTCGCCGATGCCGGCGTGGGATCTGGATCTGGCTCTGTGATGGAGATGAGGTTGAAGAGATTTTACATTAGGTCGTGATGACTGTTCAAGAGTCAGACAGCTGACGGGACGGGTGCTGGGAGAAGACGGGACTCGGAATCCTGTTCAATTTGGATGATGGTTGCTTTGAGGTTTATGATGGATGATAGATCGAATGGATTCCACCTTTCAGCAAGCGTTGGGTTTTGCATACCTAGTAAAAATATTAGATCAGGGGACTGAAGGAGTCCATGGATTACCGCATATATTGCCGTGCAGTCTGATAGTTACAAGTTTCTTCCCACGTGAGCGCAGAAGCTTGATACTAAGAGGCAACCCTAACCACATACTGTAGCTCTCCACATCAACTACAAAGACAAACAACCATCACCCATCCTCCACGCCTACACCACACTGCATGTGCAGTGTAGATCATCATACCGTACCTACTTGTCAATGCTAGTCATCATCTTGCCACAACCAGCTCCTACTTACAAGCGACGGGTCCTCCGGGCTCAACATTGACCGTCAGACTCTGCTCGGCTTTTCTCCGAACGAGCGCGGCTGGCTCCTGTATGATCCGACTTGGAAACCACACGTCGAGCAGCGTCATGAGCCCCTGCCCCTTTCATATGAGGCCCCAGGATTGACGTAGGAGTTTGACGGGACCTGTTAGCCTGGATCGATGCTCCTGGTCGATCGCGAGTCTTCTTTTGGCCATTGTGAATTGAGCTCTTCTGTGTTCCTACATGTCGGTTCAACGGTCGTAGTGTCAAAGGTAACCGGGACTGCTGGTGTGCCACGAGACGCAGAATATAAAGCTCGCGGGAGTTGAAGTATCTCTTGCTAGTTGGGGATCTTTTGGTTGAATGATCATATAGGAAGATCTCGTATTTTCAACAGGACTATCCCCATGGACTATATGTGAAAGCCACGATGCAACAGGTCTCTATTGCGTAAAAGAGAGGCACGAGATCACTCAGACTGATTCGATTTTCCTTTTGTATGTGTATCAGGTTGCTCATTCTATGGACGAGAATGCTAGTTCAGAGATAATAATGCAGTGTGGATTTCACTGCTGGACAATACTACTCACTCACGTAATCCATTCACAGGCCGATGTCTTCCACATTGACCGAACCTTGGACCAACTGAAACTCTTTTTTGACAAACGCCTCCGACCAGACATCCAAATTCTGGCGAGCGTCAAAACCCGCCTTCCCATTCCACCCAGATGGGAAAGAGTGTTTTTCCTCCCAATTCCAACCCACGAGACACCATGCCCAGACGCCGTGATGCTATCGTACAGACAAATTTCAAAACACCAGAACCGCAGATGCACATAAGCATGACATCATTCCCCTTCAGGAATGGTGAGATGCAAAGGAGACAGATAAGAGAAATAGAAATATAGAACAGGAGGGAGAAGTAAATGCAGGAGAGGATGAAAGTTCTCCAGCGCGAGTGCTTTGCAAGACACGTTGGCCTCATACGTGGATAGTGATTTTCGTTTAAACGAACAGGATATCACCCACGATTGCGTCGCTTCAAGAGTCGACGTTGTCGCTGCGAGGCATGGAGTGCTTCGTCGGTGAGAATTGCCTCTGGTGGAAGGAATTCTCGTTCGGGCATCTCGGGCAGCGGTTGACCAAAGGCCAGAACAGTATGAGTCCGGTCCCGTTGGGAGCCAGCGAGAGTGGCCACGGCCAACTCTCGCTGATGTGAATCTTCAAAGAAGGAGGTAAATGGTTTGTCAGGAGGAGGTGGGATATACATATAAGCGGGCGGAGGTGGTGGAGAAGGAGCAGCGGGTGTTCGTACGTCGTGGGAGAACGGTGTGGATTGTGACTTGTTGGGCTTTGTTTTGTGTGCAGACGCCGAGCTCGATTCGTCACCTCCCTCGGAGCGTTTGGTCTTGGGTTTTCGACTACCCTCCGATACAGATTTGCGCTGTTTCGCAACCGAGGCCGAGCGCGCTTCTTGATGCAATTGGCGAGCAGCCAGGGCATCCACATCACTCGGGTCTGGGGTACTCAAAGCATCGGATAGAGCGGAGCTTTCCTCAGCCGTGTCTTCGACGACCTTGGCCGGTGGCCTGCGTGCAGTATCCTTGACGACTTGTGAGTCAGGCTCGGCGTCTCCCGTATGCAGGTGTTTGTCTTTGGCCGTCTTGCGTTTGCGCTCCTCGTCCTTCCACTTTTGGAACTTGTTGACCAAGGCGACAAGTTCGTCAACGAGTATCTTGCGTTTGGGCTCGTAAAGCTTCTTCTCATTCTCGTGAACTCCTGTGAGACCCATGACACGCAGCCAGTCGGGACTTTGAAGCTCCTCGAGAAGTCGATCCAGATGTTGTTTTTCGTGTTGTGCACGATCACGCTCAATGTTGCGCAGATGCTTCTCTTGACGCTCAAACCTGCGGTGAGCACGAAAATAGAGGTCTTCGGTCAGAGGGTCCGCCGGATCCGAGTCCGGAGCAGGCTCTGGTAGTGTGATGACTTTGCAATCATGTAGTTTTCGCAACGGATTGCCAAATGGGGATGGATCAGGCTGGGCAGTCGGCAACGGCTCGGAAAGGTTGTCAACGACAGTGATCACGGTGTTGAAAGCAAGAAGCTCTGACAGTGTCAGTCCAAACACGCTGGAGCTTGAGAAGGAAAAGGAGTCTGGGACATGTGAACTTACCAGGCTCGGGCTCGTCGAGACTGATAATCTGCTCGTAATTGTGGAAATACTGCGCCAACTCACTCTTACATCGTGAGCCAGTATCCGCGGAGCGCAATGATCTCCTCTCGCTCGTTGCTGCAGCTGAAGAGTCTTGATCTGGAGCATGTGGCTCGGACGGTTTCTGCTCCTGCGGTCGTGGGGCATTGGCCGGTCGCGTGTCGGGGGACAGTGGTGTCATCCCATCTTGGAAGAGAGATGGAGGAGCTGAAGCCTTGGCTTTCTTCGTCTCTGAATCGCCATTTTGAGAATCATTGCGCCGCGTGGAGCGCTTGGCGGTCGGTGAATCTGCAAGACTAGGTTCTGAAGCCAGCGACCGGGTCAAGAGTCCGGAACGCGTGGGCTTCAATTTGGTCTTCACAGCAGGAGAGATGGTGTCCAAGGGATCTGGCGACTCTGGATCGTCGCGAAGTAGAGTCGTGGCTGTCGCCGTCGCGCGTCGCGAACAGTCTCCGGCGGGGGTTGTGACGCCATCGCCGTGATTCACGCGCGGGGTTGTCGACACGCTCAATCGGTCGTTGGACGCGACGCTGTTCGACGAGGGTGACGAGGCTCGGCGTGAGCGGTGGGTTAAGGTCGGTGGACGCGAGGTGTCGGGGGCAGAGAGGACGTGTCGCGCTTTGCTTGCGACGGAATCCTGCGTTGGGGTGGTAGCGTCGAGGCAATCCGGGGAGCTTCGGCGACGATTGACCGGCCAGAGATCGTGCAGTGTCCGTTGCCTTTTCATGGGTAGCCCATGACGATCATGCTTCAGATGTACGTCGTCGGTCTTCCGTCGCACAGTGCCGCGCAGGGACGACCGTGACCGGGCGCCCATTGCTGGGACAATCGGGGGGGGGGAGAAGGAGATTGCGACGGAGGAACAGGATTCAGTGAAGAGTCATGCTGTGGTGATCTGTGTAGAGGAATGGAAGGGGGGCGGATGGACAGGGGAAGCGGGTAAAGGGAAATCGCCTCGAGTCTTGATCTGGAAGCAATTGAGATATCTTCTCCTCGATGCTTGAGTCGTGAAGTCGCCCGTCGCTCGTTTTGAAGGGTCTTGCCCGTGGTGATGGAGGTGCGAGGAGAAGGGATTCTTGGCAGTCACTTTGGGACGATGCTGTTCCCGCGTAAGGTCTTCGGATGAAGAAAACCAGACGTTGATGATGGATGGCCGTTTTGGAAGACGAGACGAGACGAGTCTCAGAAGATCAAAGAGGAGACGAAACTCAAAGCCTCTATGTTCGAGTTCCAATTCGAAAGCATACGAGTACCGTCTGAAATATTGACAAGGCACGCCTGCTTCCGGTCAACTCGGTATCAAGCAATCTGCAGCACAAATCCTGGTTGACTGGGGTACTTTAGGTACTAAGACACCTGCTGAACATCGTGATACTAGTAATCTACACTGATGTCAATGTCCAACAGTCTGCTTTCACATGTTTCTTTCTCCCTTTTCGACAGAAGTAGAATTTCTCCCCCTCGCATACTAGGCAAGAGTTACAGTATGAATCCAGTGATGATTCCCTCACGTCGAGGCTCCCGTCGGTCTCAATGCCACAAGAAAGGGCGATCTCGGTTCTTCTTCAAATTGTCTTTCCCTTTGAATCGAGCCCACCATCCGAGCAACTGTTTGATCCTGGACTTACCATGAGGATATCACTCATATCATTGCTGCTGCTTCACTCCAGTTGTCATGATTGGCCTCATAACTATACTAGGAAGCATTCACTTGAAGATCCTTGGATACCTGGGGGTACGAGAGTAGTCACGCAGGAGATACTACTCCATTGTATCCAGTATCGAACTCTTGCGCTGAGAATCTACACCTTCCACTGTTGCACTGACGGCTGTCCTGATGTTTGATTCAACTTGTTGTATACATAATACTTCCAATTCTCTCGAGGAGGCGATAGGTATCCATGGCTTTACCTGGTAGTACAAGGCTCGGCATTTTATACTTCCCACTCCATGCATTGGATCCTCACTTGAACCTTAGGGGCCAACCGACTTCAGATGCATCGATATTCTCCAAACCTCCATTTCCAGTCTACAGGCACCCCTCTCAGTATACCCGGTAATAGGTAGTCAGCTGAAGACTTGACTAATTCAACCCCGAAGAGACGAGACGCTGGGCAGAGTCCCGCTACTTACTTTGCCGGTTCCCCGACCCCGCAGATGAACGCCCGCGTGGGGGGGGAGCTTCTCCACCTGGTTTGACTCCGACTTGGTCAAGCCGTGCTTGTTGCGGCACAATGCCATTCTGAATGCAAGAGGTGAAGAGGGGGAGTTCCTTGTCCGGGTATGGATGTGGACTTGGAATTCTCAATCCGAAATATCATGGGACTATCCAGAGACATGTCTAGATGATGTATGCTCCGGGAAACGGAGGTATGATCTTTGATATGAAATCGTGGGATCAAAACTCAAGTCTGGGTTCTCATCGCTGGTCGCGAGTACTGTCATCATTGACTACATACCTGTAGATTTGCAGATGAGGGGGTCTGTCCGGTTGCGATGGGGGGGTCGGTCCCTGTCCTGGTGGGGGGAACATCGTCCAACGTGGGGGTCGTCCAAGTTCAGCCGAAGTCCATGCGGAGAGTGGAGGGCAAGACGGGCACGAAAGTATATCCGAGAGGACGGATACTTAAGGGCCTGGAACCCTCAAAACGACCAATCCATTGATGAAGAAAGAAGGGTTGCACGTTCCGTCATCATCACGCATTCACCAGTTATCTCATGTAAGAAGGAGAATCTGCCGCTGCGAGGAATCGCAAGCGGGATCGTCGCAACACCTGAGAGAACTGACCGGATAAGTCTCCCTCGCAGTGACGCGTACCTACTCGATCAATCGCATCGTGCCCTGGACATCGACGCCCGACAATCCCGACGGACACGACTGAAACCACCCACTGCCGGTCCACACTCTACATTGCCGACTTCTCACCATTCTTCCGACACCTCACCACCATGACGGCATCAGAAAACACCAATGGCACGCACACCCGCCCTGTCCTGACGAAAGGGGTCTACGTCCCCACCGTGGCCTTCTTCCAACCGGACGAGGAGGTCGATGTTGCCACGACGGAGAAACACGCCGCCTACTTGGCCCGCAGCGGTGTTTCCGGTCTCGTGACGCAGGGCAGCAATGGTGAAGCCGTTCACTTGGATCGCCAAGAACGCAAGGCCATCACCTCCGCCACGCGCCGGGGAGTAGCAGCGGCGGGCCATCCCCATCTCCCCATCATTGCAGGCTGCGGAGCTGCGTCGACGCGTGAAACCATTCAGCACTGTCGAGATGCGGCGGAGGCGGGCGCCGATGCAGTCCTGGTCTTGCCCCCAGCTACTACCAGGCGCTGGTCACCCGCGAGGCTTTGCATGCCCACTTTGTGGCCGTGGCGGGCGCATCTCCACTGCCGGTGCTGCTGTATAACTTCCCGGGTGCTTCCGCCGGGGTGGACCTGTCCTCCGATGACATTCTCACTCTAGCCGCTCATCCCAACATCGTTGGCTGCAAGTTGACCTGCGGTAATACGGGGAAACTCGCGCGTGTCGCCGCCGGTGCGAAGCCGGGTTTCTTGACCTTTGGTGGCTCGGCCGACTTTACCTTGCCGACTCTGATCGCGGGCGGACATGGAGTCATTGCCGGGACGGCCAATCTGATCCCCCGCTCCTGCCTCTATCTGATGGATCTGTACGAGCAGCGACAACTGGAGGAGGCACAGCGCATCCAGGCCATCGTGGCTCGTGCGGACTGGGTGGCGGTCGAGGGCGGATTTATTGCCGTCAAGAGTGGGCTTCAGACCTATCACGGATATGGAGGTCTGCCCCGGCGGCCGTGCGTGATGCCGGAGCCGACAGTCGCGGCGACCATCCACGAGAGATTTAGCGAGGGGCTGGAGTTGGAGAGGTCTTTGGAAAAGAAGTCGGCATAGATGGGGTCTGGCGGGGACAGCGGAATGGACAAGGACCAACTGGAAAGACGTGGGATGGTGCAGGTGATGCTGCCGCGAGGCATGAAGTGCGCATGACCATGATAGATATATTGGCTGGACCTCGGGTGGACTCTCCAGATTGTCCCGCGCGGTCACCACCTTCACCTACCTGTGATATGCAAGGTCGGGGTCACCAATGGCTCTGGTTCCACCTCTCTGCTCCCCTGTTGTCACGTAGGTCGGATTCCGTTGAGGGCTCTCGCTCGTAGATCGATAAGGGATCTTTGCAGTACCCGGTAGAAGGATGATGGTCTTGCGAGACTACTCCTGTGGGTTCTCGTGGCTTGTTCCTCTCCATCTCGTCCCCGGGCCATGACGGTTCCCCGCAGTGCCGGATGGGACCTCTGCTGGGCCGAATGTCACGGTCGTACCTGAGGCTCGCGGCCGCATGTCGCGTGGTGTCCCGTATCGGTGCTATTTGCAAAATGCCTGGGCTCGGCAGAAGTCGGTCATGGTGACGCCGGTCTCGTTTTCCAAGAAACGGTCTCCCCGGCAGCACGGACGATCTCGCAGGACGACCCTGACAGTACTTCCATCGATCCCCGCGTATGTCAGGCCACGCTTGCGATGTCTACGGATCCAGTCTGGGTTGAGATTCAACTGTAGCCGAGCCTCGATAAGCGCACATGCCGCTAGTTTCCAGCCCCACGGATGTAGACTACTACTCTCTCTTCAGTCCCGGTCTGCTCGGTCACTCTCTGCCGACCCGGTCGAACTGCGACAGTGTCAACTTGTCAAGTGGTATTCGATGGTTACGTCAGAGTCAAAGCGCCGAGGAGGAAGAGGTTGTTGCGGCAGAGGTCAGGTGGGAATGGGTTCTCGTTGGTGATGATCAGTCAATCTTTCATACAGTCGGTGACAGACACATCAGAAATCTCGTGGAACGAACAGAGAGATGAAGGACGGGGAGCTCAACACGAGCAGTCCATACCTAGGTACCTGAGGTATTCTTGACAACGTAATCTACAGTACCTCCGATCTTTTATCCTCTGGACCTCTACTATTAGTGTATCAGATTCCGTAGTATACTGCCAAGTGCACACTAACAAAGTCCAAACATGACGGATGCGAGAAAGCGGGAGGCGAGACCTCCACGAGACCTCCAACCCATCTCAACATGAAGTGAGTACCTACTCCAACTGCGCGGGGAGTCGACTGTGTAGTGTGTAGTATAATTGAGAGAAGTGTCGCTTTACTCTCCAGTCGTGGAAAGAGTGAAGATGAGAGAGACCAGGTACAGAACCATCGGCAAGCTCGAATGTAACCTCACGGAGGGTCCAGACCCAAACAGGCAACGCAGAAGAAGCTCCTCCCCTGCCCGCAGACCCACTTCCACTCTCGCCTCCACCTGGGGTTCTCCCAATGATCGCAGAGAGGGAATCTTCTTCCGCCAGATAGCCTCCAACCCCCTCCCCAAACAAAGTACCTGGCACGGCTTGTCGGGGGGAAGAATTCAACCCAACTGATGATGACCTTCAGGAAGCTCTGCCACACAATGACACCGAAACATTCGGCCGGTGGAGCTCGCTCAGGAGCTCTCTTTCGATAGTCAGGTTGCGACCGACACCTCCGGATAGCCGAATGAGGTGGTAACACTCCCCCTCGTGCAAAGGGCAGAAACAAAGAGGGGGAGGAGACCGGTCGACAGGAGAGAGCACGAACACGAACGGGATGGAATGCACCAGAGAGGACGGTCCAAGCAAAGCAGCTCGACTAGGGCGGCAGGTCAACGAGATCAAGATCCAACCTGCATACCTCACACTTCCCCTTCTCCACGTTTCGCTGCGCGCTGCAATCCCTCCTCCCCCTCCCTGGTCATCCGCAATCGGACCGCAGACAGGACGGAGGATCGGCATGCGACGCTCCTCATCGATTTAAATACTTCCAGCTCGCCTCGAATCATCCACGCTTCGTCTCCCTCAAACCATCACCGTGCGTCTCCCAACACCACTCCTTCAAGGGTATCTCGCACTTCCGCGACGGGAGCCTCGACCACGATGAAGGGCATCACCTGCTTGGGTGCGTTGGCGCTGTTCACCTCGGCGGCATCGGCCGTCAAGGTGAATCCCTTGCCCGCGCCTCGCTCTATCACGTGGGGTCACACCGGCCCGATTGCCATCTCGAAGCCCGCTTTGCGATACGACCAATGCCAGGACGGCCATGAGGGGATCCTGCGCCGCGCCTGGGACCGTACCTGGGCCACCATCACGGATCTCCAGTGGGTGCCCGCCGCCACAGAGGCGCCCATCCCCTCATTCCAACCGTGGCCGACCGATGCAGCCCAGGCCAAGCGCGACACCGCGACGACCGCCGTCCACTCCGTGCAACTGGCGATCGTGGATGTCGACGCGGATCTCCAGTATGGCGTGGATGAGTCCTACACCTTGGAGGTCACGGCCAATTCGGGCGTCATCCAGATCAACGCCCACACGGTGTGGGGGGCGATCCATGCCTTGACCACGCTGCAGCAGCTGATCATCTCGGATGGTCAGGGCGGCCTGATCATTGAACAGCCCGTCAAGATCGAGGATGCTCCCTTGTATCCCTACCGCGGAATCATGATCGATACCGGACGCAACTTTATCTCGGTGGCCAAGATCCTCGAGCAGATTGACGGAATGGCGCTGTCCAAGCTCAATGTGCTGCACTGGCATCTGGATGATACCCAATCATGGCCCATCCACGTCAAGTCATATCCGCAGATGACCCGGGATGCCTACTCCAGCCGAGAGGTCTACACCGAGGCCGATGTGCGCCGAATCCTGGCCCACGCCCGTGCTCGTGGCGTCCGCGTGATCCCCGAGGTTGACATGCCCGGTCACTCGTCGTCCGGATGGAAACAAGTCGACCCCAATGTGGTCACCTGCACCGATACGTGGTGGTCGAACGACGACTGGCCCAAACACACCGCCGTGGAACCGAACCCGGGCCAGTTGGACATTATCTACAACAAGACCTACGAGGTCGTGGGCAACGTCTACAAGGATCTGTCGGCCCTCTTCACCGACAACTGGTTCCACGTGGGTGGTGACGAGCTCCAGAACAACTGTTTCAACTTTAGCGCGTACATCACCGAGTGGTTTGCCGAGGACCCCTCGCGCACCTACAACGACCTGTCTCAGTACTGGCTGGACCATGCGCTGCCCATCTTCCGAGGCACCGGTGGTCCCCATCGTCGGCTGATGATGTGGGAGGATATCTTCATCAACAGCGATGCCGCGCACGACGTCCCGCGGGACATTGTCATGCAGTCCTGGAATAACGGGGTCGACAACATCAAGAATCTGACGGCCAGCGGATTCGACGTGGTTGTCTCCTCGTCGGACTTTTTGTATCTCGACTGCGGGTTCGCCGGCTTTGTGACCAACGACCCTCGATACGACGTGATGAGCAACCCCGGCGGCGACGTTACGTTCAACTACGGCGGCAATGGTGGTTCCTGGTGTGCGCCGTACAAGTCCTGGCAGCGGATCTACGACTACGACTTTACCACCAACCTCACCGCATCGGAAGCCCAACATGTCATTGGCGCCGAGGCGCCCCTGTGGTCGGAACAGGTCGACGATGTCACCATCTCCAGCAAGATGTGGCCCCGTGCCGCCGCACTCGCGGAGTTGGTGTGGTCGGGCAACCGTGACGCGTCTGGCCACAAGCGCACCACGCAACTGACCCAGCGTCTGCTGAACTTCCGCGAGTATCTCGTCGCGAACGGAGTCATGGCCACGAATCTGGTGCCCAAGTACTGTCTGCAGCATCCTCATGCGTGCGACTTGTATTACAACCAGAGTGCTATTACTCCCTGATCGTGTCCTTCACTCGGGCCATCTGGCGTCTTGCCTTTCGTGTGTCTACGCTTGGGCCTTCGCATGAGTTGGGCGGTGACCGGGAGCTCTCTACCTACATGACGTTCGATTCCGCGACGAAGGTCAAGTTGACGTTCACTAGGGAGTGTGCTCTTGTTTCTAGCATTAGTTTTCTTCTCGATACCCATTTCCAATCTAGTTTCTCCCGGCTTTCGATCGCCCCAACTCCAAGCATAATCAAATCGTATCAACCATTCATGCACCGGCTCACAGTTCAAGTATCCCACCTTGTGACCTTTCTAGCTGTAAGTAAGTATCAAATTCAACACAGGGCAATCATTGAGTAGATGAGGTGATTGACCAGGCCACCGCAATCACCCAAGGTACGAGGCACATCTCATCAGAACATGCCAGTCCAGAGAAACCTTACTAAGAACATTAGATCCCTTATCCGTTCTCTTAAGAACGCTTCCCCTTGACTATCACCCATCCAGTCAATCCCCGGTCTTCCCACTACCGTTCATCAATCTTGAAGCCTGAGAAACTCTCATCCACTCCAAATCACCCTGTAGGCAGTGAGGCACTAGGCAGACAGGCATGACCCCCCCAAACTCGACCAACCCTGTTTTCTGACGCTCATCGTGGATCCATCCACTTGATGCCTCGCCGCCACTACTACCATTCAATGACTGCTCTCGGACACCTTACCCAGTCATCCAAGTCCCCGAGGTGATCGAGCGCAGATCCCAGCACCGAGTCAGTATGACGTAAACAGTGATGAAACCCCCCCCCCCCCCCCCCGTGTCTAAAGCGCAGCAAACCAGCCTTTGAAATTGAAAACACTGCATGTCCCACGGTAGATTCGTCATCCTGTTCCAGTACCATGCTATCCAAGCAGCACCATGAATCTGAGTAGTAGGGCTTATAGCCCGCTGCTCGTTCCGCGATCAAGGTTCGCATCGCAACCGAGCCGGCAGCCGGCCGGGACATGGAGAAGTTGACTGGGGCTTACTGCTATTTCCGGAATATTCTTGTGTCGTACAAGTTGGGAAACACAGCCCTCCGGTAGAATGGGTATGTTTTCTCCAGTCAATGGGGAACAGACGGGTCTTGGATGAGACGAGACACGTGAGAGGGATTTCTTTTTTTCTTGCAGGGACCCTTGGCTGCTGTGAAAATGATGCGGTACGGTGGCACGTTGAGATGCAAGACGCGTGCTCGGGTTTCTTCGTTTATGCTTGCCAGTTCCATCCGGAGTACTGCAGAATAACGAATGACGGCAGCTTGTGGCAGGGGAAAGACTCTGCCACGAGGTTTCGCATACGCGATGAAACGGATGAATCTTCATCAGGCCAAGCCAGCCCGGGCCTGGGCCTGGACAGTGACAGTGACAGTGACACTGGAGGTGAGAGCACCGCGACAGTGCTGTATTCCCGGCCGAGTTCGGTGTCGTCGGACCGTGTCGGCTTTTGAAGCTCTCGTGTGGCGTATAGCCTCTTTCTGACGTGTCTCCATTGGAAGGTGACTTCTCATACACACCACTCCATGTACAGGAGTACCGTCTAGGGCAGTGTGTACTCGATTCGGGTTTCAGCAAGGAGAACCCGGATGATTGGGACTGGAGTGGAGGAGGATTTTGTGATTTCCGATTCATCTTGGCCCGTTGCGATTAGAAGGTAACGAAGGATGAACACTTGGAATCCGGGGGGCCGAACCTCAGGATCACAGATGATCGTCGTCCAGGTCTTTGAACTTGAGATAGGATGTTTTATTCTCTGTCTTACTGTTTGGTCTAGGGGGGATGGTGTGCGAAGGAAATTCCCTCTCTGGATTCTCATGACTTTGAAACTTCATGCTGCACAGAACATGTGGGACAGCTGGCGACAGTCCCACGTTACCCCCCGCCCGTGAGATGGGGATTTGAAGTCGTGGAGGGATGTCGATCGATAGACGTTGTTCCTTAGCATGGAATAAAACTCAAGGGATACTTCATCAGAAGAACGGTGAAGATCCGATCAACATCACATGTTCATCGTTCGAAGCAAGATGGAAACAAAATGCTTTCGTAAATGAGCCAAAGGCAATATCTAATCCTTCTGCAGGGGCCAGAGTATACGCAGATCCCCGGCGTCATACAGTGCGTAGAACACTCTGAATCTGGCCCAGCGCATGTACAATGATGCTCTTGTGTCCTCGACAGCACCAGTATTGAGATTGCCATTCGTCAGGGTTCCATTCTCGGAGTTGTAGCAGCTTGCCAACCTCTCGTTACAGCGTTCCCTCCACTCGAAGCATTTGATTCAACATGCAAGCACTCACCTGAGTCACCTGTGTACATATCATGTGTCGTCTTTCAAACGAGTCACGGTTCATCCGTCAACCACTAAGCTTCTCGAATTCACGCCGAGTCCGAAATCCGAGGACACCGTAGCAAACAATCTTTTTCGGAAACCTCATTGAGAGTACTCGACGTACCTACTCCATGGAAGTTCGGTGCTAGACCGAGACATTCACGTGTGGCAGGATCCACGAAGACCCGGACCGTCGGAATTACAGGAAAATTGACGTTTCAAGTGTTTTGGAACATAAGTGAGACTGTGCGAGGGAAAAAGTCTGTACTCGTGCGGGTACACGTATATAAATGATGCGAATAGTACACGTGAGACACAGAAGTATCTACTCGAGTTAGAAAGTCCCCTGAAGCTCGCTTCCATGAAGATTGGAATCTCAGTTGACATTGATTTTGAAGTGATTTCACCGCTATGGATAGATAGAACGTCTAGTCGACTACGTCTGATGATGTCCATGGGAGTGATCTACCAGCATGGATATTGCACACCAATCTTATGGTAAACAACAGAACCCGACAGTAAGGATCGGTCCACCGACTCCGCTGAGATGGACCCGACTCATTCCTGGGAGAGTATGTAGTGGACATGGTTCTTTTTCTTCTTCTGCAAATCCCGGCAGTATCCATCAATGGACTATGGAGTAATTACGAATCATCTCTTACGAATCATCTGACTTTTCCAAGGGTGGAGTAAGAAAGTGAGAACCGTGAGGTTGAACAACACATGGCTCCCGGAATGGTGTTCGCCCGTCCATGTAGACATGTACTACATCAATTGCCTCCATATCTTCCGGTCAGAGACCTTTTTTTTTTTTCGAATATTCAATTCTCCAGGCCTTTTGAAAATTCTCACGTGTTTACAAAAGTCGACAGGCGATCGACCGACGACCTGGTAGGCTGGTACTGTAGTACATCCTATTCGGAAACACTCACCATGAAGTTTGAACTATGCTTCTTGCCACCACCCATTCCTTCTCAACCATCATAGAGAAAAAAGAGATTCAATAGCGCACCCCGTGGATCCGTCACCACCCTTCCCCAAAAAGAATTGCGCAACCCACCGGCCCAGAATGTGACACATCGAGGTTGACGTATCCATCCACATGCATATCATTTCCTGTGTCCGTCGGTTCACCTTCGTGGGTGGGATCGTCCACGCCGACGCCATGCTCTGGATCCACCCACGAATTCCCTTTTGGCTTAGTGCGTGGTCCACCCCGAGTGTCTCCCGAGATCAACCTTAGTTTTGGATCTGGGACGCTGCCGATCCCCCTTTTGTCTTGAGCTTGGCTTCTGGACATTGATCTGTAGATAAGCAGCAGGTTGGGGGTTCTTTGAGTTCGGTGAGCTTGCTGACAAGACACTTGGTTGAAGTGTCATGGGTCGGGGGCATAGCTTGTTTTGGCTGTTGGGCATCAAGTGAGGGCTGTTCATGCTTCATCGTCATAGGTTATGAGGTATACGTACTATCCAGTATCCATATTTAGCAGCCACCCGACGCAGCACAGAAGATACAATAAACATAGAGGAAACATTGATGGCCGTCTATGCTTGCTACACTCGGTCGCCGTCTGTCGGCTTTCACCAGGTAGGGCACCCGGCTCTAAGTTACTTGGTGAATATTCTTGTTGGTGGCAAACATCAGCAGCAGGCAAACTGCCTCATCTCAAAGTGACCGTGCCCTCATGATTACATTTCGATGCAACCTTTTCAGATCCAAGACTAATCCATGGAGGTGTAGGTATGTAGATCCGGTCTAAGATAAGCGCCTCGGCCGATCTTGCAGCTTCCAATGACAAGGTCCACTCAAACAAGGACAGTGCTTGACGTGAGATATCCCACAGAGGATCATCCTGAGGTTAAGCGGTCTGGTCGGGGCTAGCTTGCTTGCTCAACATTTTTACGCTTGGGTTCTATTTACGTGGTTGCTGCGCTCGGCGATCCACGGCACATACGCACGAGAGTATAGTCGACAAGCCTGTAGCGAGAGTCATGTGCATTCCTCATATTTTTGACAGGGGCCTTCCCCAGAAGATTCCCTTACACCGCGGTGGAACACCAATGATCCCAAGCACAGTGCAGCACTGCTGAATGATCGACTACCAAGACTCGGAGGTGTTCGGTCTGCATGACTTTATAGTTCAAGAGAGCTGGCTTCGCCACAGGACGGGATCCCCACTGCATGGCGGATTGGACCAATTGATGGAATTGCAATTGTATGACCCCCACGGTCTGTCTCGAGTACTTGAGATCGAAGCGTGCTCGTGCGTGTTACACTATTGCAGTAATGCAGTAGTGTTGGTGTACCCGCATGGATCCGCTTCCTTTTTTTGCCTGGCTGGTCCAGATTCAAAGGTGCATTAGTCGGGTGCAGTGGAGGTGCGCTGGAGGTGCTCCTGGAAGCAGGACGAAAGAGGCGTAATGTTGCGATCTATAGTAGGAACTTGGAACTAGGAACTACCAGAAACCAAGAAATAGTAGTGCCAGACTGCCAGTACTACTGCTGTGCCCCAAGTACTGTACATGAGGAACGGAACTTTAACCTTAACAGGACACGGGAGGGTTCCATCGACTAAGAGGATCGCCCCCGGGCACCTCCGTAGTCGATGATGTTCGCTTTTGAGATAAACCTTGAATGTCACACATGCAT